CGGTTTAAACCTAAAATATAGGTCATATTGGGTTTTATAGAACAAAGCCCAAGAAAGATGGGTTTAAATTCAACCCAAGTTAAAAAAAAAAATAATATGACAAGTACATTGAAAGTTTTAAAACTTGTTAAAAAAGTGTAATTGAGTCATAAAACTTTCGAAAAGTGTAATTCAGTCATAAAATTTATCGAATTTATGCAACCAAGTCCTTTCCTTTAAATTTATCAAATTGGCTAATAGAAAATGCTGACGTGGCTTTTTTATTATTTTTTCTCACACGTGGCGCCGACGTAGCTAAAAATGAATGATAAGGCTAAAATGACGTTGTTTTAGTCCAAATATGATTTGTTAATCTAAATATTATTAAATTTAGATTACAAAATAGACAAAATTAAAAAAGAAGAAGAAGGAAGGTAGGCAAAATGGCGAGGGTGGGGCCGGGGCGGCGGCGGCGGCGAGTGGGGCCCTCGCCTCTTTATCTTCCTCCCCTTTTTTTAATCTAATTTAAATAATAATTAGATAAAAAAAATCTTTCGATTGTCTTTTGGCCACATCGACTTTTTGGATTGTTATTCATATCCGTACATTGCATAATTCACATTTGCCATTATAGAATTCAATTTAAATTTTCTTTAAGAATATTTCTCATCACCCATTAAAATTTAATGGACTAAATTCCCCCAACTTGCATGTTTCAATGCGTAGATTTGGTCCTATATTACGTCGCTACTTACTGGGGTCCAAAATCATATCTTAATTGGTGGAGTTGTCAGCATGTTGCTCCTTATCCTATTTGCTTAGCCACTCAAAACCTCTTCTTTCCATTCTTATTTCAAAACTGGGGTTTTGAATCATGTATAACATATCTAATTCGAGCGTGTTAAGATGAGCTTGGGGCGACGTTTTCAAAATAACGTTTTTTTAAGAGGAGAACGCGAAGAAACAAGAGTTATGTACAGAAAAGGAACGAGTAAACTACCGACAAGGATGTGCAATTGGATTGGACCGCCGTAAAAACCGATCTGTTTCCCAGTTCTAAGTAAAGAACCATCCGGAAACTGGATTAACCAGATCGAATCTGGGACTGATTTTATAAAGTTTAGGCTGTGTTCGTTTGATAGAAAATATTTTTCAAGAAAATATTTTTCGGGTTTTCCGATGTTTGGGGTTCGGAAAATAACTTCCCACGGAAAACATTTTCCTTCCCACCCACAAAACTTCTTCACTTTTGGGGAAAATGACTTCTTCTTTCAAAAGAGGAAGTCATTTTCTGGAAACCTTATTCTTCTTCTTCTTCCTATTTTCACTATTTTCTTTTTCTTTTTTTTTCCTTCTTCTTCTTCTTTCTCAGCTGGTCACCGGCCTCGCCGGCTGCTGCCGCCGATCACCTGCCATCGCCGCCGGTCGCCAAACACCAAAAAATATTTTTCAAGACTTTTTCATATTTCAGTCGAATACCGGAACATTGTGTCATTTTTAAGAAAATAATTTCCGAAAAAATATTTTCCAAAAACGTAACATTTTCCGCGAAACGAACGGAACCTTAAAAATTATAATTTTTTTCTTGGCATCTTTTTGTGCTTTCTCTCTCTCTGTTTTTTTATTTTATTTTATGTTTTATCTAACCTAATTCAGATACTTTACTACTCTCTCTCTCTCTCTCTCTCTCTCTTGCTTGGACTCACGCTACTCCTCACTCACTTGTGGCTCGCTCTCGTGACTTAGCCTCCTCCTCGCTCACTTGCAGCTTGCTCTTGCTCGTTCGAGCATCGCAGCCCTCGCTCGTTCGAGCATCGCAGCCCTCGCTTGTTCCTAACCCGCTTTTGCTCACTCACCCTCGTTTATCCTTTACTTTGAACCGTTTTGTAGCTTATATCATTTTACTGTAAAAAAATGAAACCCAAAAAAAGAACTAAAGAAAAATAGGTTCTAGTGTAGACCCCAGAACTGGACCGGAAAAATAAGTAAGTTCCAGATTTCAAAAATCGAGAATCGATTCTAATAAGACAAGTCTGGAACCTCCACCCTCGAACCGATAACCCTTAACAATCAATACATTAAACTCATGTGAGTTTAAGTTATTGACATGACATAGCAAGTTTGCAAACACGATAATGCTAACGGACTCCATAATCTCTTCACAAGCTATCGTTCGATTGCGTAAATAGTATTTATAATGTACGAGATCCTTTTTTATTTTCGAGAATCCGTAGTTATAATAATAATTGTTATTATTTTGCCGCCGAGAATGCATGGAGAAGGCAAATACTTCATAAGAAAATAATCCCAGCTGGATCAAAACGAGATTACCAAAAAAGGCCCAGTAGAATTAGGAAAAGAAAAAAAAATCAAAACCAACTAATTACGGACGTTGCACAAAAAGAAAGGGGAAAAGATCAATTCAAAAAATAAAAATAAAAATAAAAAGGGGGAGAAAACGGTCAAATTCAGTTCCGGACGCGTTCCTTGAAACATGAACGGACAGCGTATCACTGTCCATGCGGGACGCGGTTCTCCAGTAATCAGACAGCAAATGATTGATTTTTCCGTTTCGATTTAAAAAATTTTCTCGGAAAAATCCGAAGGTCGATCCAACGGCGGAGGAGGCTTCGACCGCAGGAGAACGAGAGGAACGGAGGGGATTAATCTACTCCTTTCCCCTCGGACAGCTTGCAAGAAAGTCAAACGTAAGACAAATTGTCTGTCCCCCACCAAACCACAAAAAAGAAAATCAATAATCAATAACCAAAAACTAAAATAAAAACAAAAAAAAAGGAAGAAGAAAATTGTCGTCTCCCCTTTTATTTTTGATTATGACAGAATTTAATTTCTGTCGATATCACAAATTTTGATGTGGGATATTTCAAAGCCCTTTTTTACGAAACCGACCAGCATGCTTCCTGGTTCAAACCCGCGTCGATCGGGATCGCATCGAAAGTCACCCCACGGGACTCCTATGGCCTTGGACTTGCAGGCAAAACAATAAGCATGCACGTATACCCGTCTATTAATTTGTGTTTATTGTGGAGTTTAGTGCTGATCGTTGACCAAAAGAAAAAGTTTATTTCTGATCTAGTGCTGTATCGAGGCCGTGACTTGTCCTCGACGAGACATGCTTAAAACTTGAGTGATTTAAATGGATTTGAGAAAAAACTTTATTGGCCGCGATACTCCTCGTTAGGAAAATGGAATCAAGTCACACTCCTCGAGGCAAAAGTCCCGTGGCTAGCGAGGGTAAATATTGCACATGAGTTATACGGGTGAGTAGTATGAGGTGGCGAGTTTGTGACGGGAGGAGGGGACAATCCCTAGAGGTGAATCGTCGAGATGTTAACACAATAACAAAAAAATAAAAAAACATGCATTCATACGGGCAAAGGAAAGCACTACGTTATGTTGGGGAGTGCATCCTTGAGATCATTCGGAAATGTGGAGCCATCGAGGCGCGCGAAAACTGACCAAGATATAGCTCGATCACTCAAATGAATAAACCAGAGCATCTATGTTCGTACTTCAATACCGGATAATAAAGTACCAGAAAGGAAATGTTTGTCCGTGAATGAGCAATGCTCTCCACAATTAATTAATTTACAACAATTTCAAATATTAAAATTACTATTTTAATGTGCATATTTCCCCCTTTTTTTTTTTTGCCGGTCAACATCTTGAGCCGCAACCGCACGCGCAAGGAAGGGCATTTCGGGGACAATGTGAACGGACCGTTGCCCCGGCCGAGAAAAAATCGACGTCGCCGCCGCCGCTCTGCTACGGCTCGATAAGGAAATTCGGGGGAAAAAGAAAAAACAATAAATATATCTCATTTTTTTTGGGTTAAATCCGGGGAAAATTTAAAAAAAAAATGAAGAAGAAAATCGACCAATCAGAGGGCGATGCATTGCATTTTTTCCCCCTGTTGCAGGCGCAGAGAGAACAAAGGGGAGCGTCTCCATCCGGTGGCCTGAAGAACAAGAAACAAACAGAGCAGAAGAGGAGGAAGGAAAACGATCCAACAGACAGGCCCAAGCGGAATTCAAAAAGCTCGGAGGAGCAGCGACGAGCGGCGTCCTTCATCTCCGGCGATTCGCAATTGGCGGCGATCGGCCGGCTCGCGGCGGCGGCGGCGACTTCCTCGCTCTGATCGGCGATTGTCGCGCGGGACCGTTTCTCGTCTCCTCCCAATCGTGTCCCTCCCTCGTCGGGGTTGGCTTCGGGAATCGGCGATCGGGTTCGCCCGTGAGGTAGAGGCCGCCGGCGGGGAATCGGTCGGTTTCCGCGTCGCGGTGGTCGATTTTCCATCTTCTGCGCTGCACCTACCTCTCCCTCTCTCTGTCTCCGGGTCAGAGCTCACGGCCGCCCGCCTGCGCGGCGCGAATCCGCGCGCCATCGCGCTTGTCTTTATTCGCGGAAGATCGGATCGGCCAGGTGAGCCCGATCGCAATCCGACCGAAACTCTTTTTCCTCTCGTGTCCTGTTGCTTGAGGAATTCGCGTGCTCTTTCTTAGTTGATTGATGTGATGTTTAAGTGTTGAAGTTTGGTTTGAGTTGTGTCGGTCAAGAGCAGCGTGTTTTGATCTCATTCGTAGCGGTTGAGATGATTCCTGTGCCATTTTAGCTTCCCAAAATTTAATTTGGCGATGTGTTTGTAGTTCCTTTGCCGGTTCCATCCGAAAGGTGCGGCTTCTGAGATTTCTCTTGGTGATACGCGTTATCTAGTCTGATTCGTCATGTAATTCAACTTCTATGCAGTGCTTCAGCTTATGAATATGTGCAGAATTGCTCGTGTCTTTACATGTTAAATAGGTTATGGAAGCAAATATTGAGTTTATTTAGCAGCACCATGACTTCAAGAACTGATAGCTTTGACTGCTCTAGCGCTTGATGTTATAGAACTGTACCTACAGGATAACAGACCATAGCATCAAAGTTGCAAGAGACTACTCAGATTGGTCTCCTGATATTTTTGTTCGTATATGTCTCACAGGGGGTTGTAATTATCTTTTGCTTGCATCCATCTAGTATCCTAGTTCTGGAGATCAGCAAATGAGCGTGTCATGATGAGAGGGTTGGGAGAATTACATGTCAATGGATGCCCCAAACAAGACCTTCTCTGAATTTTTTGCCATCGTCAAGTCCTGGATTCCTTGGCGATCTGATCCAGCTAACGTGTCTAGAGACTTTTGGATGCCCGATCAAAGCTGTAGGGTTTGCTACGATTGTGATTCCCATTTTAACATAATCAATCGCCGACACCATTGTCGACTTTGTGGCAGAGTTTTCTGTGGCAAGTGTACAGCCAATTCAGTTCCCGCCACATCAACTGACTACAAGGCATCCTGCGAAGAGGGGAAGAGGATTCGGGCGTGTAACTATTGCTTCAAGCAATGGGAGCAAAACCCAGAAAGTACTAATAATGGGGATGAATTACCTAACCAGGATTTTAGTTCCTCACCATCAGCAACAAGTTTTGTCAGCAGCAAATCTATTAACACTACCAATAGTGGAAGTATTACTCTTGGTTCAATGTCACAATCTCTTGAGCCGTATCGTTTTGTTCGGCAGAGTTCTGATCTGAGCTCAAACCAGCTATCCATGGTGGAAGAGTGTGCAGATAGGCAAGGTGTGGTAACATCTGGAAAATGCAACTATGATGTAGTAGATTTTGCAAATCGTGGGGCTCCATATGCAAACCATTACGGATTTTCAATGAACAGGTATTTACTTGGCCTATTTGTGTCCATGCTTGAAAAAAGATACGTTAATGTCCATCTAAATGATTCCGATGAGTTGAATTCTTAGAGAAGATTAGAGTTTATGAAATTACTTTTTTGTTTATCCATACCATAGCAGCGAAGGCCATGCCTGCAAGTTGCGATCTCTGTACACAAGCATCATTATTTTGTACTATGTAGATACCTGTCTGCTCTTTGCATGTTTCTGTTAGGCTTTGGACTGAATGTGCGTACCTAATATTCTTTATTGTTTGTTTTTGCTTTGGCATCAGGAGTGATGACGATGAAGATCAGCATGATTTATACCAATCTGACTATGAGGCAAGGCACTTGCCGCTGGAGAATGACCCTGACAGTCAAGTTAATCTCCACGGTTTAGGCAATACTGTGGATTCATATGAGGTGGATCTTCATCGAGAGCAAGTTGAAACGGAAGGTTCAAGTGTCTCCCCTCTGCATGAAAGTTTTGATTCACAGGGATCAAATGAAGTCCAACAGCTCGATAAGAAGGATGATGAGCATTTAATTAGTGATGAATGTGAGGTAGAGTCCTCCTTATATCCTGCGGAAGATGTCGCTTCTGAGCCTGTGGATTTTGAGAACAATGGCCTTCTTTGGCTTCCTCCTGAACCAGAAGATGAAGAAGATGAGAAGGAAGGTCTTCTGTTCGATGATGATGATGATGAGGGGGATGCTGCGGGAGAGTGGGGATATCTACATACCTCCGGCAGTTTTGGAAGCGGTGAGTATCGTGCTAAAGATCGACCAGGTGAGGAGCACAAGAAAGTCATGAAGGACGTGGTTTATGGGCATTTTAGAGCTTTGATAGCTCAGCTACTGCAAGTAGAGAACCTTCATACAGACGAGGAAAACAGTGAAGATGGTTGGTTGGAGATAATTTCATCTCTGTCATGGGAGGCTGCAACACTGTTAAAGCCTGATATGAGCAAAACGGGAGGAATGGACCCTGGGGGATATGTGAAAGTAAAATGCATAGCATCTGGACATCGCCGTGAGAGGTAATACTGCAGTTTTTCGTTTATCTCTTTTATATTTCGTATTTCCCTCTAATATTCTACCATATTCTAGTGAGAAACTAAAGAGCATCTTATGATGTAAATTGGTATTGGGGAATTTATAATATTGTGCCATTTTTAGATGATCCCTTGACATGCATAAACCATGTGCTAACTGGAACTGCAGGAGTTAAATGTGAATCTGTTGAACTGGTTTTATTATGCAATGGTTTCTCCAGATAGATCATGCATTTTTTTTTTCATAAGTAAGGTTAACAAAGAGAGGACAGACGTCAAGCTGGGCTTATCGGAGGGGGTTATCATGGACTTAATTTTTTGTTTTAACAACAAAAATGGAATTGTGAGAAATAGCAAGGAAATTAGCTGGGTGCTTCTAAAAATCTTCTATCTAAGGATCCGATCCTTTTTGCAAGTGAGCCAAGCCCCTGAAAGGAGTATTCAGTATGGGAACCATTTGGGGGTGGTTTTGTACTTATGAATCATTTCGCAAGCTTTGTCCTATTCGATATGGTAGTGGAGGTGTTACAAGCTCCATACTAAAAGCACTGACTTCCTTGTTTATGTGTGGCGGTCCGTAACGTGTGAAACGACCAGGTAGGTAGGACGTCTAAGGTGGCCCCGGCAGGTGGAGGAGGTGGCTCCCATTATGTAACACTTTGTCCAAACCGTTTTCTACCCTACCCAAGATGTTTTCAGGATATCCCAAGTACTTCTGCTTCGTTGCCACGACCCATTAAAGGGGATGTGGTGCCTCTATCTTTAGATATCAATGGTATCAGATATAGAAGCAATATCTTCTAGAACTAAATCTTCTGCCCATTATGTCGTCTTCTAAATCTGTGTTTTAGTGTCTAATCATCAGCTTTATGTGATACGGTTCTCAATGACACAAGCTGTGTGCAATATCTCTTGTTTCACTCAGAGATATATGTTGATTACCGACATATAGCTGCAGTGTTCATTTTATCTTCCTGATGAATTGTTCTATTTCCTTTGTGCAGTATGGTGGTGAAAGGAGTTGTATGTAAGAAAAATGTTTCCCATCGAAGGATGACCTCAAAAATTGAAAAACCACGCATTTTGATTCTTGGAGGAGCTCTCGAGTATCAACGAGTCTCCAACCTCTTGTCAAGTTTTGATACTCTGCTGCGACAGGTTCTACTTACTAGTCCTTTTCTTGCTTTAGTCTGGAAAATAGTCATTTTGTTAAAGCAGGGAGTTATAACACTCAATCCTGCTTGATTTTGCTTGATCTTTGAATTTCTTTTGATCTCTAATAGTTTCATAATGAAAAAAGAAAAGAAAAGAAAACGAGTACATGCCATTTCTAGAGTACATGAAGAGTTATGCTCAATTATTAGTGCATGGATATGAAAAATTTGTTCTGAGTTGGTTTTTTTATAAGTTTCACCTTTTCATCATTGTAGGAAATGGAATATCTAAAAATGGCTGTTGCAAAGATAGATGCACAACACCCTGATGTTCTTTTGGTCGAGAACTCAGTTTCTCGGTATGCGCTGGAGTACTTGCTTGCAAAAGACATATCCCTCGTTCTTAATATCAAGAGACCACTGTTAGAACGCATAGCCCGCTGCATAGGTGCTCAGATAGTTCCTTCTATTGATAGTTTGTCAGCACAGAAGTTGGGCTATTGTGATAAATTTCATGTGGAGAGGTTCTTGGAAGAGCATGGTGCTGCAGGACAAGGAGGGAAAAAACTGACAAAGACGCTCATGTACTTTGAAGGCTGTCCAAGGCCACTGGGTTTCACCGTAAGTTCTCAATCATAGTGCATGTCTATGAAGATGCAGTAAAATGCAAAGGATGGAGTAAAAACATGAAGTTTCTAGAAATAGGGTAGAAATGCGAGTTAATTCATTTGATTGCTTTCAGATGCTTCTAGTTCCTTTTTTTCACCTTGATTTTGGTTCCTTACGCTTACCATCTTGAATGTACGGTAGTTTTGATTCTGAAGAATTATTAGGTAGAAATTGGTAAAACTACTTATGCAACACCGATAGGTAGCAATCTTAAAGATGTTTTTGCCCTCTGGGGAGTTAGCTGAAACTTGGAAGGCCATTTAGTGAACTTACAATTAATTTCCTTTTCTGCATTGGATTTAGATTTTACTGAGAGGTGCTAATGGAGATGAGCTGAAGAAAGTTAAGCATGTGGTCCAGTATGGAGTTTTTGCTGCTTATCATTTGGCATTGGAGACATCCTTTCTTGCTGATGAGAGAGCTTCCCTTCCAGAACTTCCACTGAAATCCCCTATTACCGTGGCACTTCCTGATAAACCATTAAGCATAGAGAGGTCAATATCAACAATACCTGGTTTCATGGTTCCTTCAAGTGAGAAGCCTCAAGGTTCTGAAGCTGGTGCTGAACCCCACCAATCTAACAGTGTCCCTTCCTCTAATGTGTCAACATTGACAAGTGATAGCACTGTTCAAAATCTGGAGTTGGCGTTGTCAGCTCGTTTTACTGATGGTTCTGGCAATTTCTCTGCAAATCTCATCAACTCCTTCACTTCATTTAGGTCTGCTCCTTCCCGGAGGAAAGTTGATTCCGACAGTCATGACAGCCTGTTTACTCTTTATGGTGTATCTGAGATACCTGAGCAAACAATCTCCACGGAAAGCAATGCTTCCAATATTGACCATCCTGTCCAGGGTGATCACCTCACTGCTAATAATTTTGGGCCTTTGGTAAATGTTACTATGTCAAACGATGCCCATACAGACAATTTTGCAACAGATGCGCCGGTACTATGTCATATGGAAGGTGCATTGCTGCAACAGGAAAATAAAAACCTTGTGGTTGAATCTGGTACTTCGAAGGAAGAGTTTCCTCCATCACCTTCTGACCATCAGAGCATTTTGGTCTCCTTGTCATCACGGTGTGTATGGAAGGGTACCACATGTGAAAGATCACATCTCTTCAGAATTAAATACTATGGCAGTTTTGATAAACCTCTGGGTCGATTTTTACGAGATCATTTATTTGATCAGGTACTATTCATAATCATTGAAAGTTCTCTGTGTTCTTTTTTATTTATACTTAAGCTAACATATTGTTCCCTTGCTCAGAATTATCGATGCGATCAATGTGTGATGCCGTCAGAAGCACATATTCAATGCTACACTCATCGACAGGGCACCCTCACTATATCTGTTAAGAAGCTACCGGAAATCCTTCTACCTGGTGAAAGGGATGGAAAGATCTGGATGTGGCACCGCTGCCTGCAATGTCCACGGTCTAATGGTTTCCCTCCAGCTACTCGAAGAGTGGTGATGTCAGATGCTGCTTGGGGTTTATCTTTTGGAAAGTTCTTGGAGCTCAGCTTTTCTAATCATGCAGCTGCTAGTAGGGTGGCAAGCTGTGGTCACTCTCTTCATAGAGATTGTCTTCGTTTCTATGGGTAATCTTTCGTATTTCCTTTTAGTGGATGTTTAAAAAGAAAGGAGTTTATGGGCAAAATGTGCAGCCATAATCATGACAGAAAAAAATAGCAGATCTGGGCAGAAAATGAAGTTTCGCTTTGACAATATCAAATGGAAATATATGCAGTTGGTCTTTGACTTATTTCATTTGCTACACGGCAAGTAGATGGACTGAGAAATTGGAAAAAAATATTATTTTGAACATTGCCGACTGCATTCACATAGTAAATTCTTTATTTTTTCCCTGCTTAACTGCTCGCCTGTGTTGTCTATGCAGTGGTAGTAATGTTGTAGATCTTACATTATGTGAATGTGCAGATTTGGTAATATGGTCGCTTGCTTCCGGTATGCATCTATTGACGTTCACTCTGTTTATCTTCCACCTTCCAAAGTGGATTTTAGCTGTGAGAATCAAGAGTGGATACAAAAAGAAGCAGATGAAGTATGACTCTCAACTATCTGTCAAATATCGTTTTTTCCTTTTTTGAATACACCTGATTGTCTTGTTTGCTTTCGGCAGCTGGTTGACCGGGCAGAGCTTCTGTTTTTGGAAGTACTTAATATGCTTAGTCAACTTGAAGAGAAACGATATGTCGAGGGACATGTTCTGAGTTCATCAGAATTAAGACGTCGAATTGTAGAGTTGGAGGGTATGTTACAACAGGAGAAGGCAGAATTTGAGGTATAGATATCTCCTGTTTCCACTCATTGAGCTTCAAGTATTGAATATATTTGCCTAAAGCTAGTGTTATGTGGTGATAAAACTGAGTTATTCTTCTTCTGTTTTATTCTGAAATTCACAGGAAATAATTAGTGATTTAAGTTGTACTGGCCACTGTGACCTGATTTGCTGATGAAAATCAGACATGTTTTGCCTGTTGGGCTTGCTCATTGTTTGCAATCATATTTAATTGAAGCTTTGGAATCTGCACAATTCAACTTTGATAATATAAGCTACAAATCTCAGTCTATCTGCTAGCTAATGGTGAAGAACAATCTCTACATTATGTCTCAGGAATTGCTTCAAAAGACTTTGAAAAGGGAAGTGGCGAAGGGCCAATGTGTGATTGACATTCTGGAGATTAATCGTCTGCGGAGACAATTACTCATCCAATCTATTATTTGGGATCATCGCCTGGTTCACCTGTCTAGTTTGAGTAATGTTGAGGATGGTCCGAGAAGCTTGAGCTCAGAAGAAAAGGAAACTTCTTTTCATAAAGACGAGACACCTTCCGAGGTGAATGTGGCCCCCAGGGAAGAAACAGTCGTTAGCAATTCTGAATCTTTCCGTTTGGATGACAGAAATACTAGTCTGGAAGGGGGATTTGAATGCCAAAGTGAGCAAGGTGATGATGTTGGTCAAGATAATCATATGGGTGAAAGTGCAAGTTCCAGAGAACAAAAGCAAGCAAAAGTATATGCAAACATGAATGCCTCCGATCAATCTGAGCCTCTGGAAAGTGGGACAAATGTTCGCAGGTCCCTATCTGAGGGGCAGTTTCCTACACCACACAATTTGTCAGAGACCCTGGATGCTGCATGGACTGGTAAAAATCAATCAAATACGGCAGTGAAAAAGGAGATCTCCTCTGCACTTTCTGATTCAGCCATAATTGATTCTTTGAAGGGAGAAGCAGTGGCTGATGGGTTGGGTGTGAATGGCTATGCAGAGGACTTAAGCAAACTGAAGGTTTCCAGTTCTTTGCCTCCTTTATTGTCCCCCAAGGACTATGATGATGAGAGTGACTCAGTTAGCTGGCTAGGAGTGCCTATAAGCCTATACCGCTCTTTTAACAAGAATGTCTTAGCAGGATCTCAAAAGCTTGATATGCTTGGAGAGTACCATCCTATCTATATTTCATCCTCTCGGGAGTCAGAACTTAATGGTGGAGCTCGGCTGCTTCTGCCTGTTGGAATCGATGACACTGTTATTCCTGTTTATGATGATGAGCCCACTAGTATGATATCTTATGCATTGGTATCATCGGACTATCATGCTCAATTATGTGATGAGTCTGAAAAAGTAAAGGATGCTGAACCCGTGGCTGCGTTATCATCTTTGGATTCCGTTAGTTTTCATTCGTTTCAGTCATTTGATGATATGACATCTGAAAGTAGAAGTCTTAGTTCTGTAGAAGAGAGCATGCTATCAGTGTCTGGGTCTCGTAGCTCCCTGGGCTTAGACCCACTATCATATACTAAAGCCTTGCATGCGAAGATCTCATTTGCAGATGCTGGAGGTGTGAAATATTCTGTAACTTGCTACTATGCGAAACGATTTGAAGCTTTAAGGAGGATGTGTTGCCCATCTGAGATGGATTTTGTGAGGTCCCTTAGTCGTTGTAAGAAGTGGGGGGCACAGGGTGGAAAGAGCAATGTCTTCTTTGCGAAGACATTGGATGATCGGTTTATCATCAAGCAAGTCACCAAGACAGAGCTAGAGTCATTTATCAAGTTCGCTCCTGCGTATTTCAAGTACCTCTCTGAATCAATTGGCACGGGGAGTCCAACATGCTTGGCAAAGATTCTTGGAATCTATCAGGTATGCGAACAAGGACATCTCGAGTGCTCATTTGATATGTGTGTTAACCTGATAATTTATCAATCTCCAAGTTTGTGATTGCGGACATTATGTCCTTACTCCTTAGCCGGAAGGGTCTAGGCAATGCCCAGCCCAAGGGTTGCACCACGGTCGTTGATTTGATGTGCCATGGAACCAACTGCAATTCCTGTAGGTCATCCTGTTTTGGGTACTTTCACTTCTTGGATTGCTACCTTTGGTGATCAAATGACCACCGCTTACGTAATTGACAAAGTCAAGACATTTAATGGGACGAGTACAATCTTTAACCTAATATTAGGCTCTTGAATTCATTGGAAAACAGCTAGCTTATGAGTAAATGCTATTGCTTTGTTTTATTACACCGCAGTGAATTCTTTATCCGTAATTTTGAAGTACTAGAAGAAGCTATATCTCTCCCACATCCATAGTTCTTGACCTTGAACAAATTTTTCAAAGCATAAGGCTACCCAAATTAGGGAATCACTAAGCCTATACTTGCAAAGGGCAATACTGGTTAATTTTGTATCCAATCTTCGTGCCTATATCATGCCACATATTGTGCCATGATCTGAGAACAATAGGTTAAACTTCGGCCCTATGCTTAGGACTTTTATTACCGTTAAATATGACAGCATACTGAGCTTGTCAAATATAGTGTGAATTTGGTTAGAACTTATTTTCCTCCAAGTTGATTGAGTGAAGAAATCATTTCTGATACTCACCGATTGCAGCTAATAACCCTTATCACAGTTCACTCATATGTTAGACAGCTTTGTAGCGTCTTAGTTTAATCATTGATCTACTTTTTGTGTGTAGGTAACGTCAAAGCATGTCAAAGGAGGTAAAGAAACCAAGATGGATGTCCTTATTATGGAGAATCTTCTCTATGGGAGGAAAGTGACGCGGCTTTATGACTTAAAAGGATCTTCTCGATCACGCTATAATCCCGACTCCAGTGGAAGCAACAAAGTTCTGCTGGATCAAAACTTGATTGAAGCAATGCGAACTTCACCCATTTTTGTGGGAAATAAGGCAAAACGGTTGTTGGAGAGAGCTGTCTGGAACGACACTTCTTTTCTCGCGGTAATCTGTCTCTCTCTCTCTCTCTCACGCGCATGCGCGCGCACGCGCATCCGTATGCACTAGTAAAGCTAATAATTCCCTGTGATGGCCTTCTGTTGCAGTCGGTGGATGTGATGGATTACTCGCTTCTGGTTGGAGTTGATGAAGAGAAGCATGAGTTAGTACTTGGGATCATTGATTTCATGCGTCAGTATACTTGGGACAAGCACCTCGAAACTTGGGTCAAGACTTCGGGCATACTTGGCGGGCCAAAGAATGAACCTCCAACCGTAATTTCGCCCAAGCAGTACAAGAAAAGATTCAGGAAAGCGATGACTACCTATTTCCTCATGGTCCCAGATCAGTGGTCACCTGCAACTATCATCCCAAGTAGATCACAGTCCGATTTACAGGAGGAGGACGCACAGATGGCCCTTCAGTGAACCGATGCCCCTGTAGATTTCTTCGAAGCTACGATTAGGATACGCCCTCTATTTCTTTGCTCACAATTTTTTCTTCCCTTTCCGCCGTGTCCCATTCTTTTCCCTTGCCGGGTTCTTCATGGTATCTTTCGAAAGAGCATATATCTTCATTGTTTTGTAGAAATTTGCAGATCGGGGCTGTCGAAGCCACAGCGACCTGTCAGGCGTAAATTATTAGATGGCCTTGATAGGGACGTTTTGTACAGAAGTAATCGTGCATATATGAAGCATTGCAATGTGTATATGAATCCGTGTGAGGTTTTGCCTTGATTTGAATGTCAATTTCAATCAATTTTTTACGATGGTTAACACAATCCACACGCAATCCCTCACTCTTTGTCTTCGCTTTTTCTTTCTTCATTCTGTAGTGGGCTTCTCCATCGAGTGAGCTCCGGCAGAGAGCATGAGTTTTTTTTTTTTGGGTCAAAGTGAGCATGAGTTTACTAGTACTGAATATCGTCTTTTTGCATATACAAGGTTAGCACTACGGCTGCTTAATCGATGATTCGGATTTTAAAAGTAGTGCGTTTTCTTCTCTCTTAAATCCGTCTAAAAAGCGGCAATCTATCAGAGACGATTCCGGGAATGGAGCGGGAAAGGAAGCGCTTTGCTCTTTAGGCATCATAGAGTGTTGCACTGATGGGAGACTATATAGCTTGTGCTCATAAACTCTCGTCCTTTTGACATTACACTTCACATTCACAAAGCCATTCAAAGAAAAATTCACACTTCGACCAAGTCAGCCACTGCTCAACAGACACTGTTTGAAAAGCTATTCTCTAGCTCAAGTCCTCCTGTAGAATACCTCCCACATCATCCGCTTTGTACAATGCACCGCCATCTTGTGCAATCTGAAGCCAATTTTGTTGAAGAAGATCGATGATATCGGCATCCCTGAGGACCATTCAAGATTGTTTAGACAAAGCTGATCTGTTGTGTCGATTGTTCTAGGAGGGATAAGAACAGTGTTTAAAAGCCATTCACCTGGCTTCACAGCTGTATGCAGTTCTCGGAATCTTTCTGCGGAGTCTCGGGCCCTCGTCGTATCCTTCGCAAGTGATCTCCCCGCTCTCGTCTCGGTAACATACTATGCCTTTGCATTGATCCTCAAAAACCTGCAATAAAAACCCAGAATCTAAGTATTGAAAAAGAAGATGAAGTCGGATCAATGGAAGTTGCTTTCTACCGCGAATTGATCGCGTTCTATGATGAGTTTGCACAAGAAGCATGAAGGCTTTGCAGGTCTCACTCCGCAAAACCAAAACAGGTCGACGTAGAGATCGCGGGTCTACCTGGTTCTTCAAGGATGATCGGGTTCGGACCGCAGTAGCTCTGTTGACCGGAAGCTGGTTGCGCGGGAGCATCGTAACCGAGCCGACCGGCTTCATAATCCGAATCGAGTCCCATAGAACTATCTGAGGGGATTTGGGATACGTCACAGCCATTGATCTCATGAAGCTGTGCAATTAAGGAGATGAATTGCTGACCTCAAACGAGTGAGAAGGAGAAGATTTGAGCACAGGAAACGTTTACTGTTGGGCGGTGTGCTATTGTCTGGTTTGCGTATGGTTGAGGCATTGATATTTAAAGTGGTTCATGTCTAGTCATAGTGCATCATATTTTGTATTATACTAGAGGGGGTGGGTCCATGGAGCTTATCTTGTAAAATGTTCATCGATGACTTTCATTTAATAATCTCCACCTTGTAATTGTCCACCTCACGACCTTGTTACATCGGAGGACGTCTCTAACATTTAATTTAGCCAGACAGGATAATGTTCTGTTGAATAATAAATCGTAAATTCCAAGATAACGATGGTAAAATCATGCAACCAACAACCTACTGGTTAAATATATCGACGCGAATTTTAGCATTAATGTTACGACCTCCGACCATCTATGTAAGTAGTTGGCAAACAAGAAGAAACCTCATCAGCTTCCAAATGCCATAAATTGAGCTTCCGCACACTCCAATTCGAATTGGGCTTACTTCGACATAGGTAAACACAATTCATCAAGTTGCTTCGACACATAGTTATTAATAGTTAGTAGCATTCCTGACTATTCTCGTGTGCGTTGCACAAGACAAATGAGTCTGAGAAACCCTAGCGCAGATCTCTCTCTCTCTCTTTGGCAATATTCCGCCAAAATGAAAGCTCAAATTTTTCTCTCTCTCAAGCCGAGGTTCCTTATCACTTGACAGCCCCAATTTTCACAAACAGTCGGTTCGCTCTGCACGAGTCGCTGTCGTGTGATGCATCCGAGCAAGCATCCTCGACTCCTCAGGATCCGTGACTAGCCGGGCCGGATGCCCGAGGGCGAAATTAAATTAATAAATGAAATATAAATATACCTCTAATTACGGACCACTTTTGGGCCTGGACTGGCCCCGATCAAAGATGGGCCTTCAGGAATGGCTTCACTGGGCCTGGCGATCCTCCTCTCATCTCAGGCCCATTTGCTTCCCCACCACCGCCAACCTGACTTGCTTCGCAAGCAGGGTTCTTCGCTAAAAGAGACCCCCAAACACACCAAGAGAGAAGAACACACTGAACCGAAGAAGCAGCACGGAGCCTCTCGACGCGCTCCACGACCCCCGCAAATCTCTCCAGGTAAGCTCTCCATCGGCGCAATCGGCGATTCGATCGCCGCCGTGTTCTTCTTCTCCTTCTTCTCCTTTTGCTCGGCATTCCGGCGTCGCGATTCGTCGTCCGATCCTCCCTCGGATCGGGGGATGGCTTGTTTTGGGAATTGCCGAGTCCGTCGCGATCCGATTCCGATTCTGAGATTTCGTTTTCGCCGGTCGCAGGTTGTCCGTCTGAGCTCGTCGCCGAGATGTTCCTCACGAGGTGAGCTGCATTCGATTCCGGTGGAGTTGGCCGCCGGCGGGGCTGGGGTTCTAGGTTTTAGCTGAGTTGGTTTTGGCGTTTGTTTTGGTTTCGTGCAGGACCGAGTACGACAGAGGAGTGAACACCTTCTCTCCGGAAGGCAGATTGTTTCAAGTCGAATATGCCATTGAAGCCATCAAGGTAAAACGGGCCTTCCTTCGCCCTTGCCGCTGCTTTTCTTTTCCGGTTAATGTCGTGGAAATGAACTGGTGACGGGTGCTGTTGTGGGACTTGTTTTTTTTTAGCTTGTTGATGATGAGTGGGACGCGTGTGTGGGTGTGTTTGAATTACTGCAGTTGGGCTCGACCGCGATCGGGTTGAAGACGAAGGAAGGCGTGGTGCTCGCTGTCGAGAAGCGTATTACCTCGCCCTTGCTGGTCTGTTTTCTTGTATTTCTTCCTTTTTTTTTTATTTTCGAGTATATCCTGCGTTGGAGATATCGGGCCTTTTCCGGATTGTTGAGTGGCATTGCTGGTTGTTCTTGTCTTATTTTGAATTGTTGACCGACTTTTCCGGGTGATGTAAATATATACGACTTGATTGTTTAGCCAATTCATGTGATGGGAAATGGAATGCGTGTTTACTTCTCTGTCTGATGATATGAGGGAATAGATGACTACTTAAAATGACATTCAAGTCCCTCATTCTGATTTTCCCAATAGGGCGTGTGGGACTGGACGTGATGTATGCACATGAAAATGACATTGTAAAGACCTTGCTTGACGCTATATGGTTTTTTACTGGAGTATGATTATATCAATTTTTCCCAAGTCGGTGCACTAAATGTATGAACAACATTTCTCTATTTTGACTACTAAATATTGTTTTCACTATATGGTAGTTGTGGACAATTTACATTGAGTTCTTACTAGAACAACTCTTCACTCACTGGCAGGAGCCGAGCAGTGTTGAGAAAATCATGGAAATTGATGACCATATTGGATGTGCCATGAGTGGCTTGATTGCTGATGCACGCACTCTAGTTGAACATGCTCGGGTGGAAACTCAAGTACGGGCTGTCCTAATTCTTTGTCCTCCTTTTTATTTTAAGCTGATTGTTCCTCATTTTAATTATTACGCTGGATATGGTCTGCAGAATCATAGGTTCTCATATGGTGAGCCCATGACTGTTGAATCCACAACCCAAGCCCTTTGTGATCTTGCTTTGCGATTTGGTGAGGGTGACGAAGAATCAATGGTAATACATTTCTGTCAACGGTCGTGCATTTTTTTTTTCTTCATTTTCTGCAGAACATTCGTGAGAAAACCCATCTTTTGAGTTTTGCATGTGAATATCAGTTTCGATATGGTTGGTACTTGCTTTGCCCTTTAAATTCCCTTTTTGTCTTATTGTTCTTGAAAATAACTTGCGGATGTTCAGCATTGTTGTAGAGTTTTAGTAGGTTGCTTGATGCTTGTTGCTTCGTATGCTTCTTTTTTCCTCTTGCTGGTAATGATCTTGGGGTTTCTCCTTTCCCCTGTTATGTCAAAAGAAAAGAGTGCAAGAGATGTGTCTTTTTCCTAGGGTGAAGAACTTTGCCATTTGCAGCTTGGAGTTTCTGTAATATGGGCAGAAGCTAGGTGTCAGGGCATAGGTTGCATAGCAACTTTCTTTTTGGAGATTATGGAAGTCTCTTGAGGGCCATCTTTCCCTAGCAGGGTCGGTGTCTAAGGATACACTAAACATGTACATCTGTCGTTTCTAGTTTGCAATTCTGCTATGTGATGCCGAAACATGGGTTCGAATTGGAAGGCAAAAGATGCTTCAATTCAGCACCGCTTTTCTCATGTCTTCATGAGCGTATGTGCATTGTGTATTTTAAATGCTTTCTCACGGGTGATTATCCTGTTGTGCAGTCTCGTCCTTTTGGAGTCTCTCTTCTCATTGCTGGACATGATGAAAATGGACCCAGCTTGTAAGTAGACTTGAACTTTTAAGTTTTTAAATGCGGTCCAAATGCTTGCAAGATACAAGATCTCTTTTTCTTCTCATGCCTTGAGTATCTGTTTTTCGCTGGATGTAGAGGAGTTAATAGGATCTGGTTTGGCATAGAGTTTGGAAATTCTTGCTGGTGATTTTCTTTGGAGGTTTTTCCAGTAGTCATATGACTAAATTCAATGATCAGGCAAACAACCACAAGTACTTTGTTGCTTTCCATTACCACAATGAGATGATGTGTCAAAGCTTCTACTTGTATGGTTGCTTTCCAATAGTGCCTCATTACAATGCAACTAAGTGCCGTATCTACTATGAAAGTTTTAAGAGTCCTTTCTACTAGTTACTCATAAAAAGTGATTCTGTATACTAATGCTATCATTTAACCTAAGAATGTCTTGACTCATCTTTTTTTATAGCAACATAGTAAGTTTGTTCTTTTTATTGGCAGTCTCTTTTGGACTGCAAGATTGAAAGATCTGCACTTATCATTTCTAGCTAAGAGTATGGGGTTTGTTGTTGCACAAGTACTAGGTTTAAATAGCAATTTATTTTTAATCTTAACTTGTATAAAACTGGGCTCTATGATGAAATGATCTTTGTTAATTTTTTTAATCGTGAGCCTACTGAAGCTATAGTTTCTCGTCTCGAAGTTTTAGCATTTCTTCTCTACTTGTGAACTGCACGAATAAGATTTTTAGCTGCGTTGGACTTTGACTCATGGTTCAGTAATTATTACAACCGGCTAGATTTCTTCTCTATCAACTTTTAGAGAAGTAGCTCAAATTATTACTTAACTTGAAATAGCCGCATGTTCTACCGGTAGTGTTTACTGAATACTACAGAATACTCCTTTTTAGTTTTAAACAACTACAACAAACGAAGCGTTATATCACTAGGTGAGGTCGGTTACATGAATTTTTTACGCCACTGTGCTCCATGTGTCGAGTCTTTTGTAAACTAGAAGTGCTTCATATTTTTCCTTATTGGATCGAAACTATGATACTATTTGTTATATCCCTGAGATGCATTTTAAGACTCTAGAGCGTCTTTTCGCTTGTTGGCCTGTGCTTATCATCAACGTGCCATCCATGAGGGCCTTGGGTTATTTACTCAGAAAAAAACCTTTTGCTTGACAGATACTATACAGATCCCTCTGGCACATTTTGGCAGTGCAATGCAAAAGCCATTGGGTCAGGTTCAGAAGGAGCAGATAGCTCATTGCAGGAGCAATATAATAAGGTATGTGCTCTCATCTGATGGATGTTAGCAAAGTTGAAGTTTCCATACTAGGTGATCACAATCTTACCTGGTTGAATACTTCAGTCTTTGCATTTGCTGCAACTTTTGAGAAGTGCTGGTGAATCAATTAAGATTGGTTGCAGGACCTAACTCTTCTGGAAGCTGAGAAAATTGCTCTTTCCATCCTCAAGCAGGTCATGGAGGAAAGGGTAATGCATCAACCGAATTGCCTGTGTACTTTTTCATTGTTGGTTAATTGTCGTCTTCCTCGTGTGCTCTTCGTAAATGGATTTTGGTATGAATTATCAGGTGACGCCCAACAATGTGGACATTGCAAAGGTGGCTCCTACATACCATCTCTACACACCTGCTGAGGTGGAGGCGGTCATTAGTCGACTATGAGGAGATTCTCCATGGAACTTCGCATTTAGAGTAATGTTCTTGGCATGTGCCCCACCCATGCGTGCTTTTGAAGAATTCTTGCCTGTAATTGTACTTTGCAAAGCCAGAGATTGGAACTGCCATCCTATTTTGGTCGGGTTATCATTCCAGGACTAATGTTGTGGATTATACAATTTCTTCCCTTAATTTGAATTGAATACAGTGTAGAGACAATTATTCTACCTTTTGTATCTTTCTGACCGGAGGCAGTTCATGGACGGCCGATGAGCTATAAGAGTGACGGATCTTACTCAAACCTTTTCTTTTGATTTATTGTTGCTTAGGGAAACTTTATCGACTGGATAACCTCAGGTTGCGCTGATAGAAAGGTGCTCGTGCTGCTCTGCGACATACTTACTCCTGTGCTAGAGTGCACCTCATTGTTATGCAACGTGCATATGCATCGGGGTTGGTATTGCGTGAACTTCTCTAGTCCTTAAATTTGACGAAGTTTTCAGGTGCATCATGGGTAGTTTCTCATTACAGCACTGGGAGAGAGTCGCAGTTACAGAGGATAATTGACCGAGAAATGGAAGTGCACCACATGGGCAGATCCTTTTGTCTTCTAAGCTATGTGGTTCTTGTGCTTAGCAAAACCCAACACACTAGGGCAAAAGTACAAGAAGTGGGCCCTTAAACATTTCGGGACCTCTGAACTTAAAACAGATGCTCATGCATGTGGGGCGCACAGGCCCACAGGGGGGTGTCTATGTCAACTTGAAACAGATCACATATTTTCTTTCCCAACACCGGGTGTTTTTAGGGATTGTTGGAGAATAGATCCTTAAACCCCTCAACGGTTGATCTTAAACTTCTGAAGTTAATGTGTTACGACATTTTGCGTATGAGTTACGAAAAAATGTAATGAATTGTGATACGTCCTCGGCGAACTGTACAACCGCCCCTTTACCTCAAGTCACACACACATTCTTCAAACGATGGAACATTAGCTGAGATAAGGAAGGAGAAACTCAAGAAGTGGAACCATTTTTTGTATTGATCAGTGTATAGCACATCAGAAAATCGAAACGCTACAAACAAATTTCAATTTCGATAAATAAAAAAAGAAGGGGGAAAATATTCACTATCGGCACTTTGCGGCCCTACATCATTTACCATTACCGGATTACAAAGCGGCGTCAAACGTCACGCTAGTTTGAGGCAACCACTCGCTCCCTTGGATGAACGACCCCACCGTGAACTTCCCGGCCTCGGTCGCTGTGAGAGCCGACTTATACCCGGCCCACGTGACCCGCTGCGCCGTGCTTGCCCCCGCGCCGCGGTTTTGGTACTCCGCATAGAAGATCGTCCTCGGGGGATCCACGTTGCTGACCCACTCGATCCAGCCCTTGGGGTTCAAGAAGGAGTCGATGGTCGACTGCATAATCACGGTGGTCGAGTAGTCTTTCCAGGGCCTGCCGAGATACGTCGGAGCAGTCACGTTGCCGTTGGCAGTGATACTGCATTTCTGGATCGAGATGCCGGTGTTTTGATTAGGGTCCTTCTTGCCCTGAGCCGTGATGGTGTTGAACTGGTTGTCCAGCGGCTGCCTGGGCTGGATATTGCAGTTCTGGAAGACGACAGCGGAGTTCCCGAATATGAAGTCGATCGTGCCCGTGACGTCGCAGTCGCGGTAGAACTGGCGGTTCGAGTGCGCGTAGAGTGTGTCCTGGTACGCATCGAAGGCGCAGCGGTATATCACCGATAGGTCGGACCCGGACCTGAACGCCACCGCTTGGTGCTTCGCCGCGCCGGCGGTGTTCACGAACCCCATGTCCCTCGCTATGAAGCCTTTACCCGCGACAGCTGGTGAAAAGATCACATCACTTAAGAGTTAGAATTTGACAGTAATATCCACAAAAGAAACATAGATAAAACAATGAAAACAGCACTGGAGCGTGTGGTGGGTTCTTTGACACAATTTAACAAGAATTATGAGTTTCGGTGCTTATTTCTTTTATTTGGTGACTTTTACCAGAATTGGCTCCATGATCGGATGCGGCAATTGCGGGCAAAAGAAACCACAGCAGCCCATAAAAGAGAAAAAGCCATGTTTTCATGCCCGGTTCGGCAACTTTCTTTCACATCAAAGCAGGCAGCAGTAAACAGAACGAGACAGTATTCAGGGAAAACCAAATTCAGCCTCACATGATTCAACCAAATTAACTTGATGCAATCACACGATTTGACTGAAGACCCGTATCTGGTTTTACAAAACGAGGTCTTTTTAAGTAGAGTCTAGCAATTTAGAAAGGAAATACGCTGGTTTTGATTGCTACCACAAGTCAATATCTTCGAGTATCATACTAGCCCCACAAAAGAAAACCAATTCTTTCCTGACTCGGGCAAAGCGATTACGTCCGTTGACCAGGCACCAATCAAGGAGTAGCGGATGGGACCACGTGGGACATGACACGGGCAATTTGTCAGAATTTCACGTTCATTTATGCCAAGCAAGCATGAATGCACATGAGAGGGTAGGGCAGAGACACACCAGACCGACGCACAACCTTTCCCCAATTTTTAATCACCATCAACGGACGACATTTGCGAGTGGGGTGGGGGGGGGGGGGGGGCCTCGCACGAGATCAAGATCATCTTCATGGTGGGGACAGACAAAGAATTCACGAGGTTCGCTGATTTGGTAAGCGATGCGCCCCCACCGGAGCAACACCTTTCCCCTCAGGGAAGGGAAGGGAGGGGAAGGGTCCCGGTTCACACCGCACCATGGATTTTAGCTAAGAATATGGAAAGAACGTTGATGGTGATGATGATGATGATGATGATGATGATGCCTGAACAAAGCAGGGGATCCTATCACAAGTTGCCACCTTGTCAGCGAATCGCATCCCGACAATGGCTACAACATTCGAGTCGGCGTTAGCAATTTTGTTCTTGGTTCCCTCTGTTTAGATATTTTGATTGAAATGGAGAGACGTCACTTTCCATAGGTGAATCGCTTCTCCTACACTGTTTTATGGTACGAATTAGTCTTAAGGTTGTTGGGCTAATCAGCTGAACTTACTTCCAGAGCTCCCAAGTCCTAAATCTTGTGGGATAGTTTTCTTGTGGGTCGGATTTGAATTGGATAGAAGGAAGACGAAAGCGAAATGCCCAATCGATTTGAGGAGGGTGGAGACTAAGGCAGGCGGTTTTCACTTCACACGGCAGAGCAAAATGAAAACAGTTTGTTTATCAGGGACTTACCGAAGGTCGCCGTGCTGAAAGTCGGAGTCCCGTCGACGAAGTTCTTGCTGCCGGTGACGATGGTCTTCGTCTTCCCGTCGCCGTACATCATCACGTTCCACTTGCTCTTTTCCAGCACCACGGTCTCGTTGTAGGTCCCCGCCTTCACGTAGATCACGAACCTCGACACGTTCTTCTTCGGGACGGCGTCCACCGCCTCCTGGATCGTCTTGTAGTCCCCGCTCCCGTCCTGCGCCACCGTCAGGTGCGGCGCCGCCGCCGACGCCTCGTCCTGCAGCAGCCTCCTCTCCGCCGCCCCGAGCCAGCTCGGGAACTCCGACGGCGGCGACGACGATCCGAGCAGCTTCCGGTGGATGGGGATCTTGAAATCGGCCAACAGGCTGATAATCCTGGTCACGATGGCCAGGCTGTTGCTCACGAACTCGGTCGAGTTCTCCATGGCAGCCCTGACGTCGTCGATTAGCGTCGAGTTGATCTCCTGCAGCGAGTCCAGGCAAGTCTCCTGGTCCGTGATCGCCGCGCTCAGCCACGTCTTCATGTCGTTGATCTTCGCCGAGGACAGGATCGAGTCTCCGGCGCCGACCTCCAGCGAAGCGATCGAGTCGTTGAGCCGGTCGACCGCGTCCCCGAACACGCCGGCGCACACGGCGAGCGCCGCCCTGTCCCGGGCGTCCCCGGCATCAACCTTGCTCGCCAGCCGGTCCGCGTAGCCCGGGAGCTTCTGGAGCTCCCCCATCGCGACGGCGAGGGAGAGCTTGAAGAGCTGCTCCGGGTCGGTGACGTTGGCGGTCTCGGCGGCGGAGATGCTGGAGAAGCAGGAGTCGGGGTACTGGGTGACGCTGCACACGGCCTTGAGGGTGGCGGCCGGGGTCAGCTCGGGGGCGGGAGCTGCCGAGCCTCCGTCGTCGTGGCCGGAGCCGCTGCGGCGGTGGACGAGGGCGCCGGCTACGGCGGCGGCGACGACGGCGAGGAGGAGGGCGGCGGAGGCGGCGAGGATGAGGAGGCGGCGGCGGGTGCGCTTGCGGAAGGCCTGCTCCTCCGCCTCGTCCACCTTGCCGTAGCCCTTGAAGGACTTCATGGAATCCATACCTCCTCTTCACCAACCTTCGCAGTGAGAGAGTGTGAAGTGCGGAGTGTTTCTAGAGAGAGAAAGAAGAGAGAGAGAGAGATGATGCTGGGTTTGTTTTTGGAAGGGAGCTGGTGGGAGAGCCTCCATTTTTATATAAGAGAGAGAAAGACAAGCGCAGAGGAGAGAGAATCTCTTTCTCTCTCTCTCTCTAACGACAGGAGAAGAGATTCGCGAAATTTGCTCTTGGGCGGATGCTTCGTTGTTAAGGTTTTCTCACTTTCGAGCGGAAAGTTGTCGTGTGCGCATTAGCCGTCGTGGCAATCGAGGAGTGGACACGTGGCCCCGACCAGCTTAACAACACTTTAATCGATCGCCTCCGTTATTAGCAGCACCTCGCGACTCGCTTACTCAATCATCATGAGCAATGATCTCCTCCCTAGCCTCGAGCTCGAGCTCGGGATGCTCGAACAACTGAACCCAACGTTGGATCGTATGGCGAGCACATCCGCATGTCGCATGGCCGGTGACGCCATGCGTTGGGGGGAGAAGAACGTATGGAAACGCTTCTGATCGTAACATTCTCGTCGCGTGCCTCGTACCGAGAGCGCGAGTTGGGGCATTACTGTACCATTGTTTGTCTTTCCTCGTGGTTATTGAGTCGAGTCTAATCGAGCTCGATACGACTTCAAATCTCGTGTGGGTCCTACATACACCCGAAAATAAAGCGACGTTTGGGATGAAGGTATAATTAGGGTATAGACCCACTTGGGAAACCGTGTTAAGACATCCTTTTCTGAATGTCTTAATCTCCATGGAGTGTTTTGGCCGGCTTGGTGTTTCATGAATGGACATGTTTCCTAAATTAACCGAGGCCGGGTCAGCATAACTGTAATGACAGATTTGGGCTTGAGGCCGCTTCTAGAGGCTGATAAATTCAGTCGTCACTTGCACTTAAAGTTCTAATTTTGTTCTAAGTTTCTAACTATATCCAGTCCTTAATTTTTTTTCAATTAAGTTCTAAGTTTGTTTTTTGAACAAAAAAAATGACGAGCCATAACTTCTTTTCTCTATAAATGAAATCCCTGAAGTCATTTCCTCACCCTTTTATAGTAAACCTCGAGTAACATTGGTATTCGAATATCGAGTATCGAGCAAAAATAACACGGGCTTCGTAAATGACCGTAGCGTCCCAGTCACGGGAACCGATTTCCTGGCAAGGCAATTCCCAAGAAAATTGTTGTTAGACGAGTTACTCGTAATCAGGGGTGAACGGTTCTAGGATAGACAGTTTCTAGACCTGAAATCTGGAACATATCCTATCGGGATCAATTTCCGATTTTTTTAACATGGATCCTGCCCTGTAGACTCTGGAACTGACCATGTTAGCCCGGTCTGATTCCAAGGTCTACCCAAGAATTGCACAATTTTTTTCTTTCATTTTTTATTCCTTGAAAAGATAAACTTTAGGAAGACGTGGCAACAATAAGAATATAAGATGCAAGGTAAAACTAACAAACCGGTTATAGTCCGGTACTAAATCGGGAACCCGATCAGAATCGACCAAGTACGGTCAATCTGATCCCATTCCAGGGTATAGCCTAAATCTGTGCTCACCTCTACGCAGTTAAACGCGAGACAAAAAGTTTGCGGTACCATTTTACGTATCCTTTATTTATTTCTTTTTAAAGAACCCGCCTTGATTTATCTTAGATTTGTTCAAATAATTCAATCACGAGAACGCGATATTATGCCATGGGACGACCCGGATGCTCCTGCGAGCGGTCCAATTGGCGTCCCGCCGCTATGTCTTGGATTCCCAGCCACGTGCGAAGGCGACGCAGGCAAAAGCTCGCGCGGCCTATACAGCCCCACACGAGATCTGGCTCTGGAAAAACCACCAGATGTCCTCATCGAAACATCAACTGTTTTTTTGACCAATTCGCGATCTGAACTTTGTCTTGGTCTGGTTCTGTTCCGGTACATCATCGGCACTAATTGAGCATCGAGCAGCGATCCGTTCCTCCCAATTTGTCCGTAATCATCGGACCAGCGCGCGTTAGAATTTATTTTGAGAAAGATGAATGATTTGAAAAATATTTTTCTAAAATGATAGCTTGAGATAATTTATCGGTGGAATTTTTTTTTTCGTTATTGACAACTATTTATATCTGAACATTTTCTTCGTGAGCAATGGAATTATTTTTCGTTTCTTTCTTTTTTATAAGGGATACAATACATCACTTTTAGGAGAATATCTTTCGAATCATTCATTTTTCGTAAAACAAATGGAGACTAAATAAGGTCGAATGATACCCGCTCGAACCGCCACGAAACGATTGTCGGAGATTTGGCGAAGGAGCTTGACATGAAAAAGTATCGTCTTTTGGTTATCTCGAAACGATGGTTTGAATAATAGTAAGCTATTATCTCGGATTATCCTTGTGGCGTTGGTTTTAGTGGCCAGAAGATGGACAAAATTGAGCGGACTAGGCATGCAACCGCGATGCATAGCACTGAATTCAGTCGATCGCCTGTTCTTTTGGCTATCTCCCCGGGCTTTTACTTGTGTTTTATCTCGGAGATTAAGTTCGTCATGAAGGAGATTCAAAGTCATCCTATCTATGGTAAAAAAAAAATAATACTAGATGTACACAGTAAAATGCACACTTTATTCTTTGATCACGTGAATTCCACTTGAAGATCACCGAATCTAACCACTAAAGATGCATTAGGTGATTTTACTTAGCGCTCCTAAAACCTATCGTGTATAATTTACTCTCATCTTATTGAGAAAGCCACTTAAATTCCACGTAGAAATCTGTTCTTCTTATTAATCGATCATAATGAGAAAAACAGAGGAAGAAAGAAATTAGAAAGTCGGGCAGTCAAGTGCACGATAGTGCATGTTCGTGTCAAATCCCCTCAATATAAAAATCGCCGGCCAGCCAAGGTCAACTTCATACGTATGCATGCTTTCGTCTCTATTGATTAATTTAAGCTAGGCATCTTTTTCTTTGACAAATGATCGGATAAATAGCCAAGATTTTAATTCATTTTTTAATTGTCTACTTAATCGAATGATTTAGCAAATTAATTGTTTTTTTTTTCACTTAATTGATGCATTAATTATCGACACTGGTCTGGAGTCATCAAGCGGGCTCTCAGCGAGTCACGCCCTTAATTAAGATTTACGAACTTAGAGAGGAAAATAATATCGCATAGCCCGTAGATCATGTAAGTCAAAGTGCATTTCCATTATGAGTTGGACCGACGTGCGTGAAGATTAATCGGAACCATTTGAGGATGTGAAAACTCGCGACGATTCACGCAATTATTTCATATAGTTTGCGCACGTACACACATATATTTTTAATATATAGTTCAAGTGATATGATATCCACCGGACGCGAACCAAAAAAGATATTTGAATTGGTCAACGGCGAAATTGAATTATCTAAAGTAGCATTAGCTGGGCGTATATCCGTACACGTTATTTCGTTCTATGTAAATTATTTAGACGGTCCGGGTCGGACCTCATCCGGGCCGGGAGGCCCGTGTAACGGATGGGCTTATGTTCGGTTGCATAAAGTCGAGCCCACGATCGGACCGGGCCGAGAGCCGGCCCACTAGAGCCCTCGGTCCGAGCGATCTTCTGCTTCTTCTTCTTCCGTCTCCTCCTGGTTCGTTCCTGCCTTAGTACCGCGCCGTTCAATCTCGAGGTCGCTTGCTTTGCAGTTGCGGTTCAGGCTTCCCGGTCGCCGACGCAGCTTCAAGTTCTCGGAGGTAAATCCTCGTTCCTCGTTCCTGCGAACTGCTGTTGTTGTTGTCGTCGGTGCTGTTTTCCGACGTTTCGCTTCTCCTTCCGTTCTCCCGCCGCGATGTCTTCTCCGTCTACGTAGCTTCGTGTCTTCTGTTATGGCTTCAGTTGCCTGCTGAGTTTGATGCTCTGTGATCTCCATTCTCGCGGTTTCGTTGGTTTCGGGAGCTTGTACGTTGTCCGCGCTTGCTTACTGTTGGTCTGAGTTGGGTTGTAACGGCCGTGCTGTAGGGCCTGCTTGTTCGCGAGGAGTTTCCAGTTTTCCAAGTGTTGGTAGTTCGAGAGTGACGTGCTTTCGTCGTTTCCTGTTCGATTTAAGCGTGCTCGTTCTTTGTTGTGGCATTCTTTGTAGTTTAATGTAATCATACAGGCATCCTTATTGATTGCTTGGTTTTCAGTTTAATGTGTTGATTGATCAGAGAAGCAAATATTTTGGTTCTGGAGTATTCGAACATTAGGTTTTTCCATGCTTGGCTGTCTATGCCTCGCTGAATTCGGATTACATATATATCTTACACAGATTTGATGCTCGTGTTGCTTATGTTAATTACTCATGCGAGTGTATTCGTGCATAACGTGTCCTGTAAATTGGCTCTCTCTCTCTCTCTCCTAATTACTTTCAGCAATCTTAATTTATCTTATCTCTTGGCAATTACGATGCTGTCTACCGTAGAGGCTGCTACCATCAAGGGGCGCATGGTTTCTGTTGGTTCAAAAGTTTTACAATCGAGAAGGCACAAAGTTCATAGTTCGGTGGAAGATAGACCCATGGGTGAGGAAAATAGGTCACATAAGTCAGCGAGAAGGAAACAAGGCATGAACAGGAGAGCAAAAGAAGGCGATTTTGGATCCGGTGGAGATGGTTTTGGGAAATCTTCGCATGGCTCTGGCAAACACGCGAAGTTCTTGAAAGGACAGGATACTAAGATTCCTAAATCCCCAATTATAAGGTGATTGGTCTTTGGAGTTAATTTGATGCTTGATGATGGTGCATTTGTGTACTTGTGAATGTTAGGCTTCTTATCGAACCATTCATGTTTTGGTGATTTGTTAACGCGAACTCCTAGGTTCTATGGTTATGGACGATAATTGCATGACTGACTTCCTTGCAGGAAACAAGTGGACCCTATGACGACAAAATACTTTTCAGATATTGCTAATCTTTTTGAAAGTAATGAAGTTGAATTAGAGGAAAGATCTGTAATATGTGGTAATGCTCTTGAAGAAACTAGAGGCAAAGAATATGAACTGGCAACTGATTACATCATAAGCCACATTTTGCAAAGTCTCCTTGAGGGCTGTGATGTGGACCATCTTTGTGGCTTTCTTCGAAGTTGTTCGAGGGTCTTTCCTCTCATTGCAATGGATAGATCTGGTTCTCATGTTGCTGAAACAGCTCTAAGGTCTATAGCTACGCATCTTCAAGACGAAGAGACCTATTCTGCAATTTTGGAGACCTTAACAATGATATGCAAGGTATAATTTAGTTTTTTAACTATCTGTTTGGATGAAAGAGCTAGCACCCAGAATTATATATGTTCGGCGGAAACTCTTTCGACCTATTTGTTTAAAGTGGCTTGTTTGTCAGCAAATCATATCACAAGATTGTGCATTCTCCTGACTATGATTGATTAGATGAACTAATATGGTTGTTCAGTCTTTCATGGAAAATAACCTCTCATGCCTGTCAGGTGATTGTCGAGAACCCTGCTGACTTGATGTATAACTGCTACGGCTCACATGTTCTTCGAAGACTTCTTTGTCTTTGCAAAGGAGTATCATTAGATTCTGCAGAGTTTCAGGGAACGAAGTCCTCGACAAATGTAGCAGAGCGCTTGAATCTTAAGACATCTTGCCCTAATGAGCATGCCCAGCAGAAACTTGGCCATGGATTTCCAGGTTTATTGAAAGATCTTATCACTGGGATGCTTAATTACACTGCAGATGATAAGAGCGTGCTAGTTGATCAGTTTGGCAGTTTGGTCCTCCAGGCATGTCTCTGGTATACCCTCCTAATGTTTCTCTGTTTTTCATTTGAAGCTGGCGTAGTGTTGATGACGGCTCCTTGGGATCTGTACTAATAGTTCCCAATCCATTGAAGGCGTGTGTGGAGGGGTAGAGAGAGAGAGTGAGAGTGAGAGAGAGGGAAGGGGGGGGGGGGGGGGGTTCATTTGGATGGATGATTGAGTTGACTTCTTTTTATCTGTTTGTCATTATCACTGACAAGGTCATCCTGAATATTGACTCGTTTTATCATGGCAGACAGTTTTGAAGCTATTAGCGGGGGATGATGAAGAGTTGGGGCAGATGATACCTATTCTTCTTGGTTGCAACAAAGAAAATATTGCGGAAGGGAACACCATTGAAACGACTGTGGGGCATAAAGTGAAAAATCATATGATAGAAACTTCATACAGTCATTTATTGGAGGTAAGATGCCTAAAATTGTTTTCTTCATTATTGTCGTCTTATATCTTCTTCCGAGTCTTTGCTTTGGTGACTATTAATTCATGGTTCAAGGGAGTTTGTCTTTATTATGTAATTCCCTCATTGTTGACTTTTATATAGGCAAGTACAGTGCTGCCTGAAAATCTATACCATCAGCAGTTTTCTACACTCTGGACAATATATAGTCACTTATTATGTTCCACTGCAGTCAGTAGTGTAATTTCACCGATCATCAGTGTCCACATCTTTTTAAAAGGCTAATGGCCTAATGATAGGAATGACAACCACGTGCTCACTATAACGTCCCATACACGCTTTCACATGTACCTTTGACTTTGGTAGTACTCTTTTAGTTCTATGTACTGAACCGTTCCTTTTTTCCCTGCATAACTTGCAGGTCATTCTGGAAGTGGCTCCTGAATACTTGTACGATGATATGTTCAACAAGATATTTAGGAATTCATTGTTTGAGATGTCTTCTCATCAATGTGGGAGCTTTGTCGTTCAAGCGCTGATTTCCAAGGCGAGGCATGAAGAGCAAGTACGCCTCCCTAGATGCTACTGGCCAATTTATGTTTTTCATTTTCCACATTGGCTAATATTTTTTATGCTTTTCTTTACCTAGAAGACTTATTTTATTGCATAATTCTTTTCCTTTTCTTCAGATATATTATCCTGCTCCTTTTACATCTTTTCTAGTGTGAATATTTTTTAGTTACATATATGTTTACTCTGTCTCGTCCAATTCTGTCTCCATAGATGCCACTGGCCATTTTATGTTTTTAAATTTTCAAGCTTGGCAAATCATTTTTGCGCATATCTTTACTTAGAAGACTCATTTAATTGCATGGTTCCTTTTGACCGACTGGTTTTTCTTTTCCTTCTTCTTCAGCTATATTGTACTGCACCTTTTACATCCTTTCAAGTAGTGTGAATTTTTTTTAGTTTCATAAGTTTTCTCTCTGTCTTGTCCATCAGATGGAGTTGATCTGGGGGGAACTTGGAACAAAGTTTATGGATCTTCTCGAGATGGGAAGGTCAGGAGTTGTTGCTTCGCTTATGGCTGCAAGTCACCGGCTTCACACCCATGATTATAAGGTTTGTTACATTCGAGGCAGTTTTTGCACATACCTGCTTAACAAGATAGCCAAGGGAGCCTTGTCCAGTAGCCATGGCCAAAGCACATGCTTTTCTATTGTATGCCTATTTGGGTTTAGCTCAATTAATAGATCTTGCTTGTTGAGTACCTTGATATCCAGTCTCACAAGTGAGAACTATTATTTTTTGTGCATTTCGGTTTTTGATTTCCCATTCTTGTTTGACAGTGTTGTCAGGCTATTGCCACTGCAGTTTGTTCAGCAGATGACCCCCCGGCATGTATTGTTCCTCGGATATTGTTTCTTGATAGTTACTTCCGCTGCCAAGATCAATCCAGTTGGAAATGGCCAGCTGGTGTGAAAATGCATGTGATGGGTTCTCTGATTCTGCAGGCAGTTTTCAGATGTCGCAATGTATGTTCTATTTCTTGCATTTTAAGGTGCTTTTTCCTGGTATCAATCTCCCCATCCAGCTGGGTTTTATATGTATAACTGCAGTTACTTGTATGCCTTCTAGTAAAGTTTGATTGTTGCTGATAATCTAGCATCTTTTAGCTGTCCGCACTAGAAATCCACTTAGTTTTTCATCCATCAAAACTCATGTTATGCTCCCAAGACAATGAGTATTAATTGAAATTCTCCTGCTCCTTATTCAAATCATTATTTTGGAATACCTGGTGTGCAGGAATACATACAGCCTTTTCTCGCTAGCATTACATCGATGGAAGTAGACCATCTGATGGAAGCAGCTAAAGATTCTGCTGGCGCACATGTTATTGAAGCTTTTCTTGATTCAAGTGCTTCTGGAAAACATAAGCGCAAACTGATTCTGAAGTATGTGGTCTCTCCACTTCCATGGTCACAACAAATTCACATGCGTGCATTTGCAGTATTTCTTGGGATTTGAATCTTCTGGCTTCCTATATCTCTGCTCAATTAAACTCTAATGTGGCTTTCATATAAGGAATTACAATTTGCCTGGGTTGTTTATGAAGGTTACAGGGACATTATGGAGAGCTTTCAATGCACTCAAGTGGTTATTTTACTCTTGAAAAGTGCTTCACTGCCAGTAATGTCTCACTCAGAGAGGCTATAGTATCCGAGTTGTCAGTTGTGCGGAATGAGCTCTCCAGGACCAAACACGGGCCTCACCTCTTGAGAAAGCTTGACATTCATGGGTGAGTTAAAATATCCTGTTTAAGATATGGAGATTGAACTATGCTTCGTCCTTTAGTTGTATGTTGCTTATATCAAGGTGGCGAATCGAATTTGGTCTTGTATCTTTGTAACGATATTTAGTTGTGTCTTGAGAAATTTCGCCCATATATGTTGATCTTGTATCTAGTTACGATCTCAATTTACCCTTTGGTGATCATTTTCACAGATGTGAAAAACTGAACCTTATCGTGTTTGCTTTATTGCAACAGATACGCATCACACCCGGATCAATGGAGGTCAAGACAAGCATCAAAACAGACAGCTTATAATGAATTTCGGGCCATATTTGGCTCAAGCGGAACCAAATCTTCTGGAGATGACAGCTTTCCTACAGACACTAACACTTCCAAACGAGCATCACGTACTGCAGACATAAAGCAAATGAGAAAATATATTGACTCTCGCCTGAGTTCCGCTGCACCGTCCTTGTTGAAGTTCGATTTTAAGCAACATGAAAAAAGAGCTGAACATCATAGTTACAAAGGAAATGACTCGAAGAAGAGAAAGGGTCCTGGTGAATTCAGCAGTGCCCATGTTGCCAGTAAAGCTACTGAGAAGGAAGCCGAGAATGAGAGACCCTTCAACTCTTTTGACAAGTCAGATAAGAAACGGCGCAGAAAAGATGACCCTTCAAAGGTTTCTAAAAAGAAACCAAAGAAATGATGATCACTTGGCTTTCCTTTTGCCAGACGTCGTAATATCTGCCTTTAAGCTGAATATTGTTAAGTTCTTTTATTGTCTCCACTTTTTGCATCTTTTTTGTAACCTTAAGTTATTAAGTCTGTTTAGCTGAGAGTCTGAGACTCTAGTGCTTCCAAATAGTTGATGGTCACATTTCACTGTGTAGCTGCACTATGAGCACAGAGAATCATATTTCATAGTAGAAAACCATGTATTTACATTCGTCAAAGATGGCATTCTGTTGAGAGTTCCCCCAGACAAAAGAAATCGTATTCTTTCACTATCAATTTCGGTACAACTGGCCTAGAGTCGAAATCTACTGTGAGTCTACAAAACTGAATAAAAAGGAAATGCAGGGAAATATATGTGATTGACCTTGATCTTTCAGCTCCTGTGTCTTTTAGCCTTGTCCTGGAGGAACCAGGACCTTCTCTATGAGAAAGTCATCCCGGATAGAAGATGGAAGGTCTTTCAAATGGGTGGAGATGCCGAGGCAGGCGACAAGAGTGATTACTTGTTCTGTATAGGGTTGGATGTGCTCGGAGGTATGCGCCGGAAGCTCGAGCCGACTTTCTCGTGAGGACTCTTCCCGTCTGTCGGCATTTCCTGAGAAGCCGGCTCCTTGCCGGATTGCGAAGAGCTTCGTTGTGTCAAAACTCGACCCTCGACGCGAAGCTCGCACGGGAAAGAAGGAAGAATCAGCAGTAGCAAGGTAAGTGCAGCCACTTCTCTGGATTTGAGTCTCATGGTTCCAAGGAAATGCTCTCAATAACACAAGAACCTATGTATCTGCTTCTCTTGTTCAAGGGAGGATGTCTTTTTCAAAGTAATGATGGGAAAAAAAGACCACTGTTGATGAGCGTGTCTGTTTAATCTCTGGGATTTATATACCCATCATCTGCCATTTCTTCAAAATTAGGTCGCTGTAGAGATTTTTACGAGATCCGGTGCCAGTGGGATCATGTGATTATGTTTGACTGTTTCATACTGCTGTTGCATCACTCTGACCTTTCAGATTCGGCTGGGGGGTTCGATTTAAACCTCACCAGAAATCACGTGATGAGTCACGTGATTATTTTATTAGTCCTGATGCTGCATTTGTTAATTCGGGCTTCACAGTGCTCAGTGCACATCGGATCCTTCAAAGCTCATGTGGGGGGGATAGAAACTGTAACTCAGTAGTTCCCTCTCGATAATAACTCATCGGTTTCTGCCTGAACTCAACAATTTACAAACTGGGGGATTTGAGCAGGATTTGGGTTCACTTACCTCGGATTCTGATGACGTGTACGGGCCCTTGGCCATAGACCTGGTCAAAGAGACACACAGCAAGGTCACTGTCTCGGTCAATGCAATAGAACGATTTCTAATCAGGATTTACATTGTGATTAGTATATGCCAAGTTACCGATGAGGTTTTGCTCGTTCATTCAGGAAGAACTGGCCGGTCAAGCGGTGACCCTATTGCTCAGACGAGTGTACCTTTCATTGGCTTGCGATCCAATGACTAAGGTTTTATCGACTAGTAGGATGTTCCTTTTGTCGAGATTCTTGTAGAAAACCTCTTGTTACTCTTTATTTGTTTTTCGACCTTTATCGACAATTTGCATACATCTTCAAACGACCAATAAGGTTGAAGTTCAACCAAATCAGCAATTTCTCGATTCATTCCACCGAGGAATCGAGCGATGGTTTGCTTCGGAACTTCTAGAACTTTGCACCTCATCTTGAGTTGTCCAAACTCTCGGATGTATTCTTCAATGCTCATCCCTTGTTGTTTTAGTGAATTCAGCTTGAGGAGCAAGTCTTGCTTATAGTTGTTGGGCTAGAATCTCTTCTTCATCAACTTCTTGAGTTTATCCCAAGACTTAATTCGGCCTTTTCCTTCCCTGAGTCGCTGATGCTTTATATTCTCCCACCATAGAGAAGCATATTTGGTTAGTTTCAACATAGCAACCTTGCATCTCTTCTCTTCTGAGTAGGACTTGAAGTCAAAAACTCGTTCGATGGCATGTAGCCAATCAACAAAGTCGTCGAAATTGAGACTACACTCAAACTCGAGTGCCTCCGCTTTTATCTCACGATCATCCTCCTTATGCCTCCCTCTTCTTCTCTGGACTCGGTATTGCGAATCACTAGACTAGTGGAGTTGGATTCGTCACTAGAGCTTCGACGAGAATCTGAATCGTCACGTCGATGTCGATCATTAGGATGCCTTGCTGGTTGTCCTTGTCTTGCCGGATCTTCAAGAAGGTTAAGGACTATCTCCATTTGTTGTTGGAGATTCTGAATAGCACGATCTCACCTTTCGTTGTGCGTCTGCTCCAAGGTCAAACCTCTAGGAACCTGTTCATCCATGTTGAGAATGAATTGAACAAAAGGAATCACTCAAATGAGTTCAACCTTAAGCTCTGATACCAACTTGATGCGTGTGTGGGCGAGTGATTCTGGAAATGGGGTTTTCTGAGTTATGTGTATGGACGTAGTCATGGCCACGGGCCGGTTTTGGCTCGGAAACGGCCCGGGTCAAACCCGGGACCGGCCCGTTGACCGGGCCCGCGGTTCGGAATCGGAACCGGCCCGTGGCCTACGGGCCTGGTTCCGGTTCCAAAAAAAAAAAAAAAAACTGCTGCTGCAGCCTGCATTGATCTCTCTCTCTCTCTCTCTCTCACGTGCTCTGCATCTTCTCCTTCTCCTTCTCCTTCTCCTTCTTCTTCTTCTCCTCCGAGGCTCCGCCAACCCCCTGTCTTCCCAGATCTGACCGTCGCCGCCGTCGCCCCCGCCCATGGCCGCAGCCGCCGACGCCGACGCCGACGCCCCCTCCTCCTTCCCCCTCGCTACCCTGCGCCTCCTCCCTTTTTCTCCTCCACCGGGTCCGCCCACCCCCTGTCTCTCCAGATCCGACCCCCGCCGCCGCCCATGGCCGCAGCTACCGACGCCCCCTCCTCCTCCCCTCCTCCCGACCCCGGAGGAGGAGGACCCCCCACTCCTCCTCCCCGTCCCCGTCCCCGTCCCCCTCCCAGCCCCCTCCTTCTCCCCCTCGCCGCCGCCCCCGTCTCCCGCTTCATCTCCTCGCCGCCTTGAACCCCGCCTCCGCCACCGTGGCCAAGGCCGCGAAGCCCGAGCGACGACCGACGGAGACCAGGCCTGCAATTTTTTTTTATAATTTATTTAATTAATTTTTAAATTACGAACCGGAACCGGAACCGGAACTGGCCCGGAACCGCCGGTTCCAGTTCATACGTGGCCACGAACCGGAACCGGCGGTTCCTGAATCGTGGCCATGACTATATGGACGGGTGTGTGTTTGCGGAATAGTTATCGAAGGGTAAAAGGAAACCGAAGGATAGGTTACGATTGACACCAAGGTATAAAGGACGCGCCACCAACCGACGATGAAAACCGGGATTGACGAAGTTCACCACCGAGGCTTAAAGGACAAGCCACCCGCCAATGTTACAGGATTTCGAGATAGGAAAAACTCACCACCAGGGCTTAAAGGGAAACCACCAGCCGAGAATAAAGTGCTTATTGGCTCACCATTGAGGAGTAATCCACTCTCCAAGGATAAAGAAACCGATTTAGGAGTTATCCACTCTCTAAAGATGGTCACTCATGTAGAGGAAAATCTCATGTATTTCATTCAACAAAGTCTTGTCTTCTTACATTGGAGGACTCTCCTCTATTTATGAGGGAACTAAGAAATAATCGAACATTAAAAGACATGAGATTTGCCCAACAATTTAAGGACTTAGGAACTAGAAAGCATTGAATACCTAGAAACTAAGAACTTTGACTCTTGAGACTCACAAATTAATCAAGACCTAGGAACTTAAAAATGCATTGATGGCACATGGAGACTTGAAATCTTGAGCCTTGCACTTGATCTCCCAAAATTCGTGCTTCAGCCTTGATGAGATGATAACTACCTCATTAAGTCAGCATATGTCATAGAAACTTGCTTAGAACAACCTCTCATCGATATATTATCAATCCGTATTGAAATCAGCTACTAAGCCTGTCGAGAAGATATTGGATTTCTGAATGGCAATATAGACATATTGACAAGAGTCTTACCGATAAGATTGATAAGAGAAAAAGCCTCATCTTTGGCTTTGTCAGTTTATCGACAAGAGTCTTATTGATAAACAAGAGTTTCACCGATAAGATTAAAGAAGAATCGATCCCCTTTAATTGATGGCCTCCTTGTCGATAATCCATCGAAGCAAGTTATGACCGAATTCTACCTTAGATTGAATGAGCACCGATGATACTGACTTTGTTGATGGACTTAAGTTAGATGGTCCCGCACCAATGACCCGCGCAAATTTCGGGTCCTTAACAATTGGCCGCGACTCATAAGCTAAGTCTCATCACCTTCTCTTACGAAAGCTCTTTCTCCTAACAAAACTCGAGGCCTATGGGTCATTCCGAACAATTGGTCGATGATGTCATTAGACATTCCTAAAATTATGGTATCAGACTTTGCAAGTAATCTAAAGTGCTTTTCTGAATAAGAATCAATTGCGACAATCCAAACCACCACAAATAAATAGACTAACACAAAGTCGCAACAGAACCATACAAATAAATCTAAATGGATTTGGTTGACTAACTCGTTGACCCAGCGCCACTCCACTCTCCACATGCTCTACATGCACCTTCTTTTTTCCCCCTCTTTTGCGCATTTTTTCTTATTTTTGGGTGGCTATTTAAAAACATATATTCACAAGAAGAAGAAATCCTTGCCATGGCATAAAGAGTTACGTTCTCTAGTGCACTGCTCGACAACAATTCTACATTTTGACATAAAAATGGCATTTTTCTACTCGCATTGATCTTTTATTTACAATAAATTTAATATGTAAAGATACCTTTTGCATTTAATTTAAATCTTTCATGCATCGTAATTTTCAAAATAATACCAGAATACATAAATTAGCCTTGATAAAAACTTGACAGAGCATATTTCATAATAAATGTATTTGGACAATTATCTGGCAGCTCCCCACCCTCCCCAAAGTGCGGTTTTTTAATGTATAGTGTGTGCCAAAATGCTCTACCATTGAAAGAAAATCTATATAAGAGATAAATAGTACCCAATCCGCTTTGTCCGCTGCGCCGGAGAACCGGTACACTTGTGATAAATTTGTCGTGAACTAATTTTTTTTACTACGAAAAACACCAAACTGGTATACCCACGATAAATTTACCCAAACTAATTCATTGACCACCAGTAGACCTCTTGAGAAAGCTTGACATTCATGGGTGAGTCAAAATATCCTATTTAAGATAGGAGATTGAACGATGCTTCGTCCTTTAGTTGTAGGTTGCTTATATCAAGGTGGCTAATCGAATTTGGTCTTGTATCTTTGTAACGATATTTAGTTGTGTCTTGAGAAATTTCGCCCACATCTGTTGATCTTGTATCTAGTTACGATCTCGATCTACCCTGTGGTGATCATTTTCACAGATGTGAAAAAATGAACCTTATCGTGTTTGCTTTATTGCAACAGATACGCATCACACCCGGATCAATGGAGGTCAAGACAAGCATCAAAACAGACAGCTTATAATGAATTTCGGGCCATATTTGGCTCAAGTGGAGCCAAATCTTCTGGAGATGACAGCTTTCCTACAGACACTTGACACTTCCAAACGAACATCACGCACTGCAGACATAAAGCAAATGCGAAAAGATATTGATTCTCGCCTGAGTTCCGCTGTACCGTCCTTGTTGAAGTTCGATTTTGAGCAACACGAAAAAAGAGCTGAACGTCATAGTTACAAAGGAAATGATTTGAAGAAGAGAAAGGGTCCTGGTGAATTCAGCAGTGCCCATGTTGCCAGTAAAGCTACTGAGAAGGAAGCCGAGAATGAGAGACCCTTCAACTGTTTTGACAAGTCAGATGAGAAACGGCGCAGAAAGGATGACCCTTCAAAGGTTTCTAAAAAGAAACCAAAGAAATGTTGATTACTTGGCTTTCCTTTTGCCAGACGTCGTAATATGTGCCTTTAAGCTGAATATTGTTGAGTTCTTTTATTGTCTCCACTTTTTGCTTCTTTTTTGTAACCTTAAGTTATCGAGTCTGTTTAGCTGAGAGTCTGAGGCTTAAGTTCTTACAAGGAGTTGATGGTCACATTTCACTGTGTAGCTGCACTATGAGCACAGAGAATCATATCTCATAGGAGAAAACCATGTATTTACATTCGTCAAAGATGGCATTCTGAGAGTTCCCCCAGACAAAAGAAATCGTATTCTTTCACTATCAATTTCGGTACAAGTGGTCTAGAGTCGAAATCTACTGTGAGGCTACAAAACTGAATAGGTTTCTACTGAATAAAAAGGAAATGCAGGGAAATTTATGTGATTGACCTTGATCTTTCAGCTCCTGTGTCTTTTAGCCATGTCCTGGAGGAACCAGGACCTTCTCTATGAGAAAGTCATCCTGGATAGAAGATGGAAGGTCCTTCAAACGGGCGGAAATGCCGAGGATGGCGACGAGACTGATTACTTGTTCTGTATAGGGTTGGATGTGCTCGGAGGCATGCGCCGAAAGCTCGAGCCGACTTTCTCGTAAGGACTCTTCCCGGCTGTCGGCATTTCCTGAGAAGCCGGCTCCTTGCTGGATTGCGAAGAGCTTCGTTGTGCCAAAACTCGACCCTCTACAAGAAGCTCGTGCGGGAAAGAAGAAAGGATCAGCAGCAGCAGCAAGGTAAGTGCAGCCACTTCTCTGGATTTGAGTCTCATGGTTCCAAGGAAATGGTCTCAGTAACACAAGAACCTATGCATCTGCTTCTTGTTCAAGGGAGGATGTTTTTTGACCACTGAAGATGAGCATGTGCTGTTTAGTCTCTTGGATTTATATACCCCATCATCTGCCATTTCTTCAAAATTAGGTCATTGTAGAGATTTTTACAAGATCCGGTGCCAGTGGGATCATGTGATTATGTTTGACTGTTTCATACTGCTGTTGCATCAAGCTCTGACCTTCAAGATTCGGCGCTGGGGTGTTCGATTTAAACCTCACCAGAAATCACGTGATGAGTCACGCGATTATTTTATTAGTCCTGATGCTGCATTTGTTGATTCGGGCTTCACAGTGCTCAGTGCACATCGGATCCTTCAAAGCTCATGTGGGGGGGATAGAAACTGTAAGTCAGTAGTTCCTGCTCGAGCTCTCATCGGTTCTGTCTGAATTTAACAATTACAAACTGGGATTTCAGTAGCAATTGGGTTCGCTTACCTCGGATTCTGATGACGTGTACGGGTGCTTAGCCATAGACCTGGTCAAAGAGAGACACAACAAGGTCACTGTCTCGGTCAATGCAATAAAACGATTTCCAATCAGGATTTACATTGTGATTAGTATATGCCAAGTTGCCGATGAGGTTTTGCTTGTTCATTCCGGAAGAACCGGCCGGTCAAGCAGTGACCCTATTGCTCAGACGAGTGTACCTTTCATTGGTTTGCAGTCCAATGCTTAAGGTTTTATCGACTAGTTAATCTCTTAGTAGTTCCAACCAAAGAAAAAAAAATCTCTTAATAGGGCTGTCAAATGGGTGGGTTAGGGAGAATTTGGATCTGGCCATAGGATCGGGCCGAAATGGCCAGATCCAAATTGATCCGTTTTGACCCATTTATATACAATACAAATCCACTGATTCATACTCGACCCACCCACATTAGTGTATAGATGTTTGAAGGCAAGAATTTTTATGTTATGCATATAGTGTATAAAAGATAAAACTTTTAGTAGTTTCGTAAGGTTCCAAACAAAATTTTCGACTTGTTTGCGACTCTTTTTTTGTTGCAAATTTTTCAAGTTTTACAATGATAGTATCCGACATCTCTTAAAATCAGTAAGTCAATAGATATTGACGCGTAAAATCATATAATTTTTTCACGATTTACTAAAGCTTGAAAGATCATAAATTTTTTACTATTTTTCAATTTTGAGAAAAAGACGATCATAAGTAGAAGATAAAATTCAAAAATAATTTGCCCCACCCGTAAACCTCCAACCTAAACCTAAAGACAAGTGAAGAGGGACTGGAAATGGGTTTGGCTTTCAACTCATTAAAAGTTCACATTTTATTGGACTTTATCACTCAAATTCCATGTTAACTAATTAAACAAAATTTAGCTAACTCATATATAACCCCGAACTATCATATATGAGTTAATAAACGGGTCTTTCCCCCTTCCCTCAACCATCATTGAAGCTCACGAGAAACTGAACGGAAACCCAGCTCTTGGCTCTATCAATGTGCCAGAATTTAATAACTTACTCTTATTATGATGACAACAGTGCACATTAATGAGCGACCTAAGATGCCAATAATAAACATTAAATGGTGGCCTCAACTTGCTAATTTTACGTTCCTCCTTTTTCCTCCTCTTGCAAAATAAAAGACCAGCTAAAAATTAATTTGTACGTCTCTGGGAAATGCAACACTCGAGTCGCAAAAAAATTTTAAAAAAAGGGGAGGAGATAATTATAGAAAATTTCATAAATTGAAGGGTGCATATATAATGTTTTTTCTGTCAAGGCGCGTGGTAATAGGTAAATGGAAAGTCAGAGGATGTTCGAATGGTCTTTCATTATGATCCTCACAGGATCAGATGAACAATCTAAATCAAATAGTAAGGACATCATATCAAGTAAGAGCTCAATCTAGGAAGCATGGAACCTGCTGATGAACACATGTCCCTCCAGTGAAATTCATTATTATTATTATTATTTGTTGCCTTTATATGAAGTTTGGTGGGAGTTGGGATTTTAATTGGACATTGTTGGGAAAGACATAAGGTCTGGGATGATATGGTACCACTCTCTTTAATTGCTTTGCGCTTCCATGCGGTTGAACGGAAGCAGGAGTCATACCCATATTACCCAAAGATAATGCTGCTACCAACGAACAAGATTCACCTTCAATATGATTCTCGTAGCTTTAAATTATAAAATCCCGCATTAGTCAACTTTTCTTTAATGTGAAATGTCAAACAAATTACATCAATAGAGGACCTTATTAACATAACGGCGATAACACGTACCATGACATGGTACTCGCCAATATTAAATCAATCCGTCACCAGCATAATGTTGACTTGTACTGGATTGGTTGGTCAATCAAATATCGGCGTATATTTTGGTTTGCCATTTTTCCCATAGATACTTACGGATTTAAATTGGATTTTGGAGACCCAACTCAACCCACAAAATCCTAGTTCGACTTCTGATGAGGCCTTGAAATACAATCGGAAAACAAGAATATGTCGTGAAAAAAAAATCGATACTTTTGATTGATTTATCATATTGAGTATATATGAAATCGTGACATTCACGCCACAAAATGATTATTTTTTATTCGCATATTGAATTTCCAAGTCTCAATCTAGTTTCCCTAGAGAAGGCGATTGCCTAGCCCATGTTACATCACAAACGTTAGTCAAATTAGAAAAAACGATAGAGAAAGTCAACCTAATCCTCTCATTATCTCAAGTGAAAAGTCAGAACCACCCAAAATCCTCCCAATCTAGACTCTTTCAAAACGAGGGCAGAATGGTCATTTTCTAGGGCGTGAAAAATGAATGATTTTAAAAAATATTTTCCTTAAATTAATCACTTATATTGCCTTATATTGCTTACAAAAATAAATAAACAAAAAAAAATTCATCGTTCACAATATTTGAATATAAATTGTTACCGGTAAAATATTTTTCATTAATTAATTATTAGAAGCAATGCAGACGAACATTTTTGAGAAAATATTTTTTAAGACTCGATTTATTTCACAGAAAACGAATCATTTTCTAAAAATAATCATTTGTATCGCTTAAAATAATCAGTCGATGAAAAATATTTCATTACCGATAATAATTTATGTCCAAATATTTTCGCCGACGATGTAAATTCTTTTCCGTCCGCGTATTTTCATAAACGATACATGCGACTAATTTTGCAACCCTAAATAACCCAAGCTCAAACTGTGAAACCAATGTTTTACGCGCCGAAAAAAAAAACCATATTAAATATTAAAGTCTACAAATGAAAAATGGAAATTCTATTAATTTTGTTTCCTCCTTTTTGGCGATGGGGTTGGGGGCCCACCCGGGGAACCGAGGCCCCGTCGGAAATAGCGAGGCACGTTCTCTTTCTCTCTTTCGCCACAAAGTTCATTTCACTTCTTCGAAGGATCGCGATTTCCCTGCTACAACTGCTCGGAGAGGGAGATGGCCCCTATAAATTCCCGGAAAATCTGAACAATCCCAGGAATTTCACGCCTGAAAATCGGATTCCGGCCGCCGTTCCAGGTAGGAAAATCCCTCCTCCGACGGCGACGGCGGCGGGTTCTGCCTCTCGTCGCCGGTGTCGGTTCCTCTGGGTCGCGATTCCGCTGGGTTCTTCGGTTTGTCGCTGCTGCCTGTGTTGTAGATCGATCTGTGTTGTGGGTCTTTCGGGGTTCGCGTCTCGATTGGAGTCGTGGGATGATCTGAATTTGGAGTCTTTTGACTTCGATTAGCGAGGGTCGGCGGCGTCCGGGGGAGTTTTTTTTTAATCTTTTTGTGCGTGTTTTTGGATGATTGAATTGGGGTCGAGCGATTTTTTCAATTGGTTTTCTGCTGCGGTTGGGTTCCGGCGGGATTCGAGAGTGGTTGGAGCTGCTCGGCGGAGCGGCGCTAGGCCCAATTCGCTGCTTTCGTGTCTTGTTTATCGAGCGGCTAGTGGTTCTGTTAGGGTATTGTTGGGTGCTGCGAATCGCAAATTTGCCATGTTAAGGAGGTGGCACGGCGGTTTTTGAGGAATTGGTGAGATTCGTGGTTTGCATTGAGATTACTATAAGGACAGGGGTTTGACAGTGGGTTCTGAATGCTACTTGAGCTTAAATTCGGCCTCTTTTTAATTATTTCACGCGGATGTAGCTTTCTGGAGGAATGTAACAGGACGTTTGCAGTATAGATAGGTTGGTTGTTATGTATATCGGTTTGTGAATGATTATAATAGGCTGATTGTTTTGAATCCCATGCAAAAAGAGAACTGATTGTATAGTACTTAGCCTTGTCAATGGTTCCCGTATGTTACCACCAAGGCAAATGGCCTGGTGGCAAGGGATCTGGTGGGGGGTGGGGACGTGTGAGTGAGGGGGCAGGTGTTTGATCCCTGTAGACGGCAAAAGTGAGAGTGAGTAGTGCTGGCAACTAACAAGACCCAAAAAACAAAATGGTTACCATATGTTCCTGACAATCTCCACAACTTTATGTCTTCCATTTGCCCATTTGTGTTGTTAGTTCAGTTTCATTGTATGGGTCGTGATTGGGGTGGCTCCTAGTGTTGTCTTGAATGGTAGTATCAGTTCGTGATTCTCTAGATTTTCTTTGGTATGAACTATGCACTACACGTGAAGGGTGCATGTAATTGAACAGCTTTCTGATATTGCAGGCCACCGTGTTTGTGACTTAGTATCTTTTGGGTTATGTTGATTTGGGTAGTGTCTTTCCCCAATTCTCCGTCGACCAAACCATTCCTTTCACTATATTTTGGTGTACTTGCATGTATGTCTCGTCATCTTATTAAATATCATCTCATGGTACACAGCCCGTAGAATTTCCCCCATCAAAGAGAGAAAGGAGTCATCAATTTGTGTATTTATCGGCATTGAAGCTCTGAGATGGCAGAGAAGGCATGTATCAAGCGTCTTCAGAAGGAATATAGAGCGCTCTGCAAAGTATGTCATCATCTTGTTCTCTATTCTCATTCTCATTTTCACTGTCTTGACTTCTTTTTCGCCCTCTATTCATGTTGATATCTATATCCATGGTGGTTGTTTAATGAACTTCCCCTACACATTCTTTGGATAAGTGGAACAAACAAGCTACTATCTTTGTATAATGTGTTGTCAGTGCTTAAGAAGCAGGTTGAGGAGGTATGTTAGTTGTTCCCTTGTTTTAATGATCTGATCCAATGGCTTTAAATTGAACATTTTGATACTCTATGGAGTTTTCTCTGGCAAGTCATTAAGATAATTCTGGTTGAGATACCTTCATTGAACCATATTGATTATAATATAACGGGATTGTTGCTGCATTGAGTCTTCTGTTGGTTCTTTTTGTATATTTAGACTTACAAAGCGTTTCTGTTTTTGAATTTGCAGGAACCTGTTTCCAATGTTGTAGCACGTCCTTCCCCAAATGATATTCTCGAATGGCGTAAGTCTTCATTCAGATGAAATGTAGTCTAGCAGTGCTTCGCGATTTTTTGGTGCATTAGTCATGGTATGGTACCTTCTCACGAGCAAAATTAAGGCTGGTTATAAATTATAATGGATTTAACTTATTGATAGTCCACTCTGAGTTTTGGTTAATGAATCCTGTTAAGAACTTCCATGAGTTGGCTAGTTTGAGAACATTCTCTATACTTTTATCTTCCTTTAAGCTTTTGAACAAGTGAATCGGTATGAAGCGTTGACCTGTTGGAAATTGTTTGTCATCTTTCCTTCTGCTTTTACTTGCTGTCTTATGCTTTTTTAAGTGTTAACTATTATCGTACTTTGACTCGGCATTCTTCATTTTTGGTTTTCTAGATTACGTGTTGGAGGGGAGCTCGGGAACCCCCTTTGTAGGTACTGTAGATTTTTTCTTTTCCCATAGTGCTCATTTTGACTTTGGAGGTCATATAATAATATTCTGTTTGAAATTGTTGGTATCATTGTGACCAGGTGGATACTATTATGGCAAGATCAAATTTCCTCCAGAGTACCCATATAAGCCTCCGGGGATCACGTATTTTTCTTTCAAATAGCTTCCTCTTTTCTTTTTAATGTAGTTTAATAGCTGCACCATCTTGAACTAATATATATTCTTATTCGAGTTTGTTTTCCTTCTTGCAGCATGATCACTCCCAATGGGCGTTTTATGACTCAAAAGAAAATATGTCTATCAATGAGTGATTGTAAGAATTTAATGTCTTGAATAGTAAAAGTCTGTCGGTCATTTTTGTAAGATCAACTTTTGCTTAGGTTTGGTTTTCCCCCTTTGCAGTTCACCCAGAAAGTTGGAACCCGATGTGGTCTGTTTCAAGGTACTGCAGATGCTAATCAATATATCCTTTTCTAATCTTCATGTTCTTTTACTTGTCAGACTCCGTAGATGAAATTATGTAATTGTTTCTTTTTTCTAGAAAGAAAAACTTTTGAGTGTGTTTTCTAATTTTGTCTATTATTCCTTCCAGCATACTCACTGGGCTTCTTTCATTTATGGTGAGTTCATTAGCTCCATGACTACCCAAATCACTTTGGGGCAAGCTACTGCATATTTACTTGTCACTTGTTCATTCATCACGTTCAGATACTTGGAAGAGAAAAATAAAACATGTCCTTATGTCTTTGAAGGGCATTCTGGTTTTTGCAAATATCATCTTAACATGCCTCGCTTATACCCATTGACTTTACATTGCAGATGGACAATAGTCCTACAACTGGCAGTGTGAACACCACAGCTGAAGAGAAGCAACGTCTGGCAAAATCATCTCTTGCTTTCAATTGTAAGAAGTAAGTGCCTATGATGCCCAACGGACCCCCTTTAAAAGGAGGAAGGAAGAAAATAATGTTTATGAATGTCTGCGTCCAGAAGTAAACATGTTAGCACAGAAAAGGAAACAAATGGAAGAAATGTCTATTTGTTTTCTTGTTGTCTCTTCCAGCAGTACATTCATGTTTCTCAGTTCAGTAATCATATCCTCATATGATAGATTTTCATAAAATATTTTCATTGAGGAGACTATGCGAGTTCCCTTTTTGAATCTATTAGTTTTGCTGTAATAGATGCATTTTCTAGAGGCTTCTCACCTATACCGTGTCCATCATTGGAATAAGAGTCTAATGTCAGTTGCAGCATATATCTATTTGGTGGGGTATATGGTAGACACTCAAAATTTTGTTTAGCAAACTGTGCTGTGACATGTTATGCTTATGTTCTTTTTGACAGCCAAACCTTCAGGAAGATATTCCCTGAATATGTTGAGAAATATAACCAGCAGCAGCAGCTCTCTGAGCAACATCTCTCAAAGCAGGTCGTACCTGAGCGCCCTAAAGATGATAATGCTGGGGCGGATAAAGATGGCAACACAACGGGAACACAAGCGAAGAACTTGAATACCCCAAAGGACATGAGAAGAAACAGGAAGCAATCATTCCCCACCTGGATGATGTTGTTGCTGATTTCCATTTTTGGTCTAGTCATGGCGCTGCCCCTGCTTCAACTCTGATCTCCCTATCTCTTTGGTATAATCAGACCTAGAAAGGGACAGCTGCTGCTTTAGTTTTGTCGTGTAGCTAAGCCTAACCTGTGTATTGTATAGGGTTCTCTATTCTGAAAGGGTTTGGTTGCTTAAATGATGCTTTTGCCTTCTCTTGTATCTCTCTCACATAAGTCGATCTTATGAGACAATACATTTTGTGATATGTGATTTGAGATGAGTTGGAGCTTCTCTTGTAAATGGAGTCATGCGTTTGGTTTTTTCATGTTATTGAGCTTCATAGGTGGTGGGTTGTCATTGTTCACAGATCGAAGACAACATGGCATAGAAAAGCCGAACTAGGATGCAACTTTTCATGGCATATAAAAGCCGTCGGTTTTTTCATGTTACTGAGCTTCATAGGTTGCGGGTTGTCATTGTTCATGGATCGAAGATGAACATGGCATAGAAAAGCCAAACTAGGATGCAACTTTTCGGATTAGGATCGTATTGATCACCGTCGTCTTTGATAGCGGAGTAGTTGAAGCCAACGAAGTCCAAAATGAGGTTTACTCTGCTCTAGGAGGCAAAATTGTGTTCATGGCTAATGAAATTGATTTCAAGCTAGGGTTACTTACATCTCCCTATGTAGTAGTATCACCACCATCGACTGATGATGATAGGAGTCAATGCTTTGACTTCGTTCATATGAACTGAGATACTTCGCACCACTGGAGAGGAGGATGGACTTTTTTCCATGTGGGTGTCAGCTTTATGCTTGAATGATGACTGTGAGCAACAAAAGCTTTGATAGCGGGGACAACCCCATTCTTCTGCTTTTTGTGGTCTGGAAAGAAGAAAGAAAAGACTCCCACCTCCAGAGATCCATTGTTTGTATCTTACGGCGTAATATACTGTGGTGTTATCACTAATCATGTGTACTCGAAAGTATGTAATTGAAAAAATCGCTAAAGACATCCGCATTGCATGCGCAATCGCGGCAGAAAAAGTCTTAAGTATGACACGTCAAGCGGAAGTATGATCGATCTATTGATTGTTTATAGTTTAAACGTGTTTAGAAGTGAATATCCCACTTGGAAGCAAAATTGTGCCAGAGGACCTTAGTAAGTTCACTTCTTCAGAATCGTTCTTTATTACTTACTCTAGCAATGATCGTTACATGTGGGCTGAGAGACACAATAAAGAGTTCTCATGGGAAGTCTTTTGCGTTACCTAATGATGTTGTCTGCCTGTCACTGCCTGGTTGGACCAGAAAATGAAAAGGTCATCTGCAAAATCCAATGAGAAAACGGATGCAGAAACAATTATCCATTTCAAAACCTTCATGAATTTCGAAAATTCTGAAGTTCGCAATTTATCTTTTATAACTTGCCAAGCCAATTTGTAAAACTCTCTTAATATCACCAGCATGACCCAAAAAAAGAAAAGAAAGAAAAAGAAAAGGTGGCTCCCTCACCGCACCACCAAAATCTATACACACTCGAATCTTTACTCCCCACATGAACAGTGGGGAAAAAAAGAATCAAAATCAAAGATACCCTTTTTAAAAAAGAATGAAATTATCTGTAGTCGTTCTTGATCATGCAATGCTTTGTTCATGAATGGTTACGACCCCTTTCATATTCATGTAAGAAGCTACGACCACAAGTGCAAGAATTAGTATAACGAACATAGCTGATCTCTCTTCCTTGCTTATATGTGTACTCTATGCTAGTAGATTGATCCAGAGCTCAAGTTAAAGGAGACGCAGAGATTCCGTATCTGCCGCCGCTAATCACGCTCCCCATTTATGCCCAGAACCAAACGTCAGAAGGATCTTTTGAGTGAATCTTTTCAGCAGACAAGACATCATTATATTCTGTCGTTAAAATGCTAATGAAGTCTTTCGTACACAAGCCGATCTTTCATTTTCCCTCAGCAGGTTCTTTCGTTATATCTCACATCTTGGTCTCTCTTTTACTTGGTTTTTCGATTTCAAAATTTCAAGCTAACTCTACATGAGAAGTGCTTTTGCCTCGCCTTTTTTCCCTCCTATCTTGGCTTTTGCAGCTCACGCTAGACAGGGGCAAGTTAAGCTCCAAAGTTGGGTGAAAATTTGTCCTTAATGCTTGACTTGCTCGATAAAGTCCCCGCCTTTTGGCTTTTTTAGCGCGTCTCAAGTATAATCATGATTTACCCATTTTGATTTGGTGTGTGCCATTGATGGGTTTCTACTTTTTCTTGGAATTCTTTTTGCTTTTTCTTCTCTATTCTTCTTTGTTTGCCGGTGATTAGTGGTTGGCCGTCACCTTTAGGTACATGTAAGATGAACAACACTCGATTGATTGGCCTTCACACGCACGTCAATGGCCCTCAAAGTGGCTGAAGTTGTAACCGAAAGGCTACAGAGTTGACACTGCCATTTCAACAGCCACTGCTTTCTATTCATCAATCTGAATGCCTATTAAAGTGGCTTTGAAAGGCTTTTGTGTTGTAGGCTTTTTTCCTATTTTTTTCTCTCCTTTGTTGTGCAGGTGAGTCCCGTTTAGAAGTAGAATTGAACGTCGATATTATTGTAAATTAGAATCTCTAATTGTTCTTTCGCATCTTTTATGTAGATTTTCTTCATGATATAGTTTTTGATTGTGGTATTACACCTTCTGGTTCATCATCTTATTCTTTCTGGTATCTTCCCTTGTCCACACAGCCTACAAGATAGTTAGGCTTTTCCTGTTGCAGTTAGCAATTGATCTTCTTATTGACACAGGAAAAAAAAAGAGACCCTTTTAGCAACAACAATCAAAAGCGAGAAAGGATTTTTTTCATAACACATTAAAGTTCGAAGGCCTTACATTGTTCTATTTCATCTAGCCATGTAGTGTGGAAGCCACCTGCATATCTGTTCATAGTTTTGTGACTGTATGGTCCTGAAATTTGCAGAATTTGGTTTAGCAGCAACCCGCCAAGATGAGGAAATCTCCAGTATACCCTAAATGTGAGGCAAGCGATTATGGTGCTACTGAATTTGATCCACAAATGGACTTTCTTCAGGTAATTCTAATGCTATCATCAAGTTCGTTTTCATTTCTATCCTTTCCCTTTTCTTTTTCTTTTTTGGCTAGTCATACTGCCATCTCTTCATGTATAAGTTGGAAAATTCATTAAGTTGTGACACTGTTGCATTTCCAGTAATTCACTTGATCACAACATTCTTGAACTCAAACAAGTCTTATCAATTTTCACGTGCTTAGTCAACTCTAGACAATCTGAGATCAAACTCTATGATGTACATCTGATGAGGACGCAGGTTGATTTGATATAAAAACTGAGTTGGTTAGGTGAATCATGTTTCAAGGAAGGAAGTTTCTTCTTCTTTGGCTTACTTTGTGTTGCGACAACTTTTCTTATGGATATATAAGTAATGCGTATTCTGTTCCAAGTCTTCAAGGTTTTGCAACCGGTTCTACTCAATAGTTTAATCTTCCTTTGCCTTGTTCAGTTCTTGGATGAAGCCAGACAGCACAAATGCGAACCAAATGTAAGAGCTTCTTCACAATATTCTGTAGAAGTGGCAGGAAAGAGAAACCTGGGCGAAGATAAAAGGAGCAAGAAGTCATGGAAGAGCTCCCTGCTTTCATGGTTGAGAACAGAGAAGAAGAGCAAGCCCCAAGCAGAACCTGCAAGTCATCATCACAACCATAAACCGAGAAAAATTGTTTCCGGTCCAATCTTTGGGGCAAGTAAGGAATCCGATGCTTGGCTCCGGCGTCTGAATTCGGGGTCGTTCTCCGGTCTTTTCAATTCCACAAAAAGAGCGGAGAACGAAATGCAATACATGTCTCTAGAAGAGTTGGACAAGCCTCACGGCGTTAAGAACTACGGACCTGTTTACTTGGTAACTTAGCACATGAAAACCCTAGGGACATTGGAACAGTAGGTCCTCAGTTTCTGCAACAAAGAATATGTTGACTCGCTGGAGTATGAAGATTGTTCAGAGGCAAATGTCCCCGAGTGTTTAGCACTCATGTAGTAGCCATCGGTTGCATAGTGCTAATTTCATGTGAAGAGCTCAAAAATAGCTATCGATTGTGTTTGGTGGCAATCCTGACTGTTTTTTCTGTAATTTCCTAAAGTCAACAACAATTTCCTGTGAGTCACTCTTGCTTCAGATTAACGTCAATAGATTCAAGGCTACATCAAGGGCAGGTTTTTTGTAATAATGATGCATGTCAGGAGCTCCATTCTGTAATGTGAAGTTCAACAAACTCTTTGAAGCCGAAATTATAAATTTGATCTCACAGTAATATACACTTTATGCAGCAGTCTCTCGAGTTCTGATATTACTATTGATCATTATCACCATGCTGTTTCCTTCTAAGTTTCTGGTGCTTAAATGGTTTATCTGCACTGGATCATTGAAAATAAATAAGATAATACTAAATGCTGCAACTGATTTGATTTAAACTACCGACTGTGCTCTTTAGTCCTTAGTTCTCCTGAAACTTCTGTGGATAGATTTCTACTGCCAATTTAGAGCAATGAGCCAATGACAAGCTCCTCCCATCATGTAATGTAACTAGGAAATCATTTACTGATCTAACAAAATGACATTCGTGATTGTCACAGATTGCATTTTGCATCAATGTCTTACTGCATCCTGAATATGAGAATAGCCTTAAAGAGAACTCTGGGTATATCAAATTACATCCACTGGAAGAGAACCGACCTTTGTGATTAACCGACCAGGAGATGCAAATTTAATCAATACATTTACAAAAGTGAAAATTACAAACTACATCTTCTGTAACTAGAAGGATTTTCCACCCTCTGAGACAGAGAAGCAAAACTCTTTCTTCTTACTGTACTCTCTCTCCTCTCTCTCTCTCTCTCTCTCTCTCTCTCTCATCCTAAGAAAAAAGTTGGAACACTTGACTCAGAACAACATTGCAAGAACAAATATTGTGTACGAAACATAAATCTGGTTTCTGGATATCCAATTCAGTCCTCAAATCCCTGCCAAGCACTTAAGTGAATACTACTCATCACCACTTTCTCCATCTTCATCTCCATCAACAAACTGTTGTTTGGACAATGGAAGAACGAGAGAAATCTCTGAGACAGCTTAAGTTTTTAGCCATAATTGAAACAGCTGGTGCGCATCATGGTGAGTGTATCGCGAAGACAATCCTCTCCCCCTATTCAACATCAAGAGAATTTGCATTACAAGGAGCAACTCTTCGCTCCCTACTCAAGAGCCTCTTCAATGACCTCAGTCTTGTGGGAACTGGGGACTTCAGATCATCCTCGGTAACCCGGTTCGCTGAAGACGAAGAAGCCGAGGGATTCTCGCTAATCTGCCTTGGCATGTCAATAACGACCATCGCAGGCCTAGCAATAGCAAGTGCAGCAGAAGATGATGATGACTGAGAAGTAGCTGAAGAAGAAGAAGAACCACCTTCTTCTAAACAAGCACTCCCAGAGCTAACCTGCATCTCATTACCCCAAAACAACACATTTGTAGGAAAGTTTGGTGATTCAGTGGGGTGCATCCCACCAGATAAATTCTCTTCCACGGGCTGACTGTCACCATTTTCTTCTTCCAAATCATCATCGATGTCGATGGTCTTCGAACAATCTGAACCGAGACCGACCCATTTCCTACAAAGAGGGCAAGTGGAGTGTGATTGGAACCACATGTCAATGCAATCCACATGAAACCCGTGATTGCATTTGGTCAAGATCCTAGCTTTCTCCCCCTGAACCAGCTCGGAGAGGCAAACGGCACATTCAAGACCCTCCTTGAACTCCTGGGGATTGAACACCACCGCCGGCAGAGAGAGCAGCACCTTCCGATCGAGTCCGGTACGGACAGCGACCGTGGGATCCTGGCCGGGGGCAAAGACGAACCGCCGGCTGCGGCGGCGGCGCGGGGGCGGAGCGGCGGCGGCCGAGGAGGCTTCTTCGATGCGCCCCCAGAACCACTTGGCGTATAAATGGAGGAGGAGAACAAAGAGGACTACTATGAAGAGAAGTATCACCGCAATCAACATGATCTTGCCAGTTAACGCAACCGCTTCAGAGTCATCCAGTTTTGTGATGTCAGAGTCTCCCATTCCGAGCAACAATTATCGAGATTTACCTATCCAAACTAAAAGAGCTTAATCTCCTAATGGGCAACGGAAAGAGAGAACCTTTCCGCAGTTCAAGCTCAACCCAACCCACAAGATGGACGAAAGATAAAGATGCGAATTTGAGTGAAAGTTGAGCAAAGCTGCAAAACCTACAAAAAGGGTTTATGTTGATCCGGTGGATCTTGAAATCTGATACCAGATTTGGCAAAACGAATCCAGATTCAGTGAAGGGTTCAAGATGGGGTTTGTGCTGAAGGACAAGAGAAATGTTTTGAGTGGAGAAGGGGAGAGAGAGAGTGCTGAACTTGCTGTCTGCAATGAGAATGGACGGTTTTAAAGGAGGATTAGTGCGTGAGCGAGGACTAACAGAGGAAGCTCAAGACTCCATGTCTTCTCCACAGAGGAGGACTTTGGAGGGAGTGAAGAGTTTTTTTCTTTATCAGATGGGGAGAGCGGAGAGGAGGAAGAAGATGACAATACTTGGGACCAAGATTGTGATTTATTATTGCTAAATTTTTAAACTTTTGAGTGAACTGCCAAATAAAATAATTCCTCCCGGTTTTGTTTTTTGGCTAAAACATGCATCTCTCTTCCTAACAGTTCGACACCTCCGTTCAACTCATGTTGCTCTGCGTTTTGACTTATGTCATGTCCATTAGCATTTGAAATCAAGAATCTTACTTCAACCTTGAGCTGACTGCCAAGTGGTAAATAATATGCTTCTGAATTGGCTCATACGTCTAGTTGACACGTTAATCTAATCAAGGCTTTTTCTTTTCCTATTGAAATTTTTGTTGAGTGCAAGCAAGATTAAACAGTATCCATCCATGCGTGACATATCAATACTGCAATCAAATCTTCCCACCTGTTGTGATGATGGGATGATTCTTTGCACACTGTCATTGTGCTCCATAAACATATTTTTTCTCCCACCTCTAATCTTCTCATCTGAAGATCCTCAAAAGTGAATTGTATTACATCTTGATTTTCTAGTCACTCCACAGTCCACACCTTTGTTTTATATTTCTTCAAGCTAAAATGATCCGTAGCTTCTCTGTTGATGGTCAATTGATCACCTCTTATCTCCAGGGCAAGAACCATACCATTATCACCCGTTCCTATGAGATTGCTAGCTTCTTGACTGTCATGGCTAAATTTGCCTAAAATATCTCCCCCACATAAGAGCCTAAGGCTCCTATAAGTCTTTGATTCCTTCCTGTTTTGCACCAAGTAAATTATTTTCTTTCCATTTCCCAGCATAGCTAATGCCTTGATTTCTTCCTTACTGTACCCATTTTGCGCACAGAGACAATAAATTTGATAGCAATTTAGCAGGATCACTTAACTGACAAGTTTACTCAACATTATCAGATTTGCCCCAAAAGAAAAAGACAGGAAACAGAAGCTGCACACAAAAGGAGGGACTAAGCATTGCAAAATTGTCCTAGATCAGAGACTAGTATACCATTTTCGAGATAGAAAATGAATTCAAACCATTAAATGAAAAAGAGCCGCAAGGTGTGCGGTGGGGTCTGTGATTCAAGACTGTCACATGGGGTCTAATCTTTGAAGCAATGCACGCAATCTTGAAAGCCAACACAGGTTTTGAGGGAGATTTACAGATCCGAAAAAGTCGCTAATTACCACCTGCTTTTGACACTGGTGAGTCAAGAAAAATGTTGACTTTATCTGTCCTAGGTGCTCCTTGCTTTCATCTACACCTGGGTTTTCTCTTTCCTTTCATCCCTCGCATCATCTCCTGGTGTTGATTACATGCAAGATTTTCAATTATGAGTAATCTTAATGCGTGATAAAACTAAGGGCAAGGACCATCTCAAGTGATAATGGACTCCGAGATATCGAACCCGTGTTATCTGAGACATGCTCAAATTTCTAAGGGCAGGAAGTCTGAGCTAATCTCTCCTAGTGCAATTAAAACTCCATTTATCAAATCAAGGATGAACTCTGATCCATCTACTTAATCTCTGCTATAATACATCATTGGAAAGAGAAATGTGTGAACTGTTATTTTAAGAAGTAAGATGACCAGACCCAAGACCCACCATTTTCATGACATGGGGGACCAACCAAATGGGGTCAAACAGTGCCTTTTGTGGTTAGGGAAGGTGAGAGTTGGAGGGATCACTTCATTTTGTTAATCATTTTTGTATTATTTTTTTTATGCAATGTTGAACAAAACCTAACTCGACTTCATCGTTCGAAGGCGACATTAGTGTTGGTTATTGTCATAGCTTTGAATTAGTAGTCTATTTCAACTGAACCGAGTATAAAGAATACAAGCCAAAGACTTTTGCATAAAGACGTGTCCAAAATACCGAACGAGGAGATCAATCTCGTCCCGTATTGTTAGCCTCGATTTTGGGCTTTTGCTGGGCATATACCGCGTTTGCAGCTTAGGACAGGAAACGCCCGGACAAAATGATGGATCAAGAAATGATTTTTTTTAGAGTATTATCATATGTTTAGTGGTCAAAGCACGAATCATAAGGGTGATGATGTGGCATGGCTGATGACTCTATGCTCTTAAAAAGGTTAAGGAGGGAACAACAATTTGTCTGGTCGGTTCCAATTCCAATGGGGCGACCCGAGAGTAATTGGGCCGGGCTGGCCCGAGATGACCCACGATCCGATTCTCTGAAAACATGAAGAAGGCTCGGCCTGTCATCGACCTCCTCATCGACCATAAAAACAGCTAGTGAGGACATGAATAAAAACCATTCTCTTTTCCAACCCAATTTCTGGTTAGAAATAGATTATTCTATTTCTATCCCGTGAACGAATTTCTACGCAAAAAGTAGCATTTGATAACGATGCAAAATTTGTGTTTCCGAAATAGAAATTCGTTTGATAGGTTATTTTTAAATTTCTGTACCTGGAGGTCGAGGGCGGGAGGCGGATGGCGAGGGCGAGCGATAAGAAAAGTTGTTATTTCTATTTCTATTGTCATAGGTAGATAAGTAAAATGAATATACTTCTCATTTATGTTCCAAACCTATTTTTGGGCTAAAAATTTATCTTAGAAATAAAAAAATGAAGTTGTGTTGCCAAATGGATTCCGGGAAAGTATCAAAAAAGTCATAAACCTATTACATTGATGCTAATTTAGTCTCAAATCTTTTTTTGATACCAATTCAATCATAAACATTTTGTCTTTGTGCCAATTTAATCCTTCCGACTAATTTTGGCCGGATATTGCTGACGTGGACGCTGGCCTGCCTACGTTGCACCTCCGGCGATGACATTGACAACTTTTAATAATATTTTTATCTAATTTATTTATTAATTTTTTAAAATTTTCTTTTCTTTTTCTTTTTTTCTTTTCTTTCCCTTTCTTCTTGGGCCATCGATGATCGGCTCGAGGCCAGGGCCGGCGAGGCACTAGAGATGCTTGCCCTCGCTAGCGACGAAGACTCGCCTCACCCTCGCGGCTGGGCGAGGCATGACCTCACCGGATCTGGTGAGGTCGAGCCTCACCCATGGCTGGCGAGGCTCGACCTCGCCAAATTCAGCAAGGGCGAGCCTCACCAGCCCAACATGAGGCCGCCCTTGCGGCCATTCGGTGAGGGTGAACCTTGCTTATGGCTAGCAGGGCTTGTCGGCCCTGGCCTCCATCTAGTCGTTAGTATGGCAACCGGCTAGAGGAAGAAGAAAGGGAAAGAAAAGAAAAAGAAAAGAAAATTTTAAATGAAAATTTGAAAAATATTAAAATATTATTAAAAGTTGTTTACGTCATCGCCGGCGGTGTCACGTAGGTTAGTCGGTGTCCACGTCAGCAATACCCGACCAAAATTAGCCGGAATGACTGAATTGACATAAAGACAAAATATTAGGACTAAATTGGCACAAATGCAATAGGTTTAAGACTTTTCTGACACTTTTTCCAATGGATTTCTATTTTAAACCTATTTTCGAAAATAGAAATATAGAAAAACAGAAAAATGAAATGGTTATCATTCGCGTTTTCACGGTCCTAAATCTCTGGAGGACTTTCTCCAATGAAGTAGTTGATGAACTTGTCTTCTTCCTTTGTTTTGGAGATCAACTATAATGACTTAGAGTACAACTATTTTGAGCAGGCAAATTACCTACTATTGAATTATGCGCCACTAAAACCGGACTCGGTTTTGTTGTTCTGTGAGGAGGCACCTCTTCTCTTGAAGGTACGGGCCATTTTGCCGAGTTCCTTAGAAAGAGTCGTCTCACGCCCGTAATTACCTATCCACTCGTGTCTATGTCCGGTACAATTACCCTTTTGTCTTAGATCTTTGAGCTTTTTCCGGAAGTACGACATGGGTTATTTCAGGGCCGTAGCGCCACGTACTCGAACGTCGAACGTCGGTTCGAGGCATTTTCTCTGCCCCTTCTCATCCCGAAAAAAGCAGCATCACCTTGCACGTTCTCGATCGATACATTTACAAGAGAATGGTAATTGTACCCGATCATGTCACGCGATTCAAGCTCTTGTAAAAAGGAACGAAGGAATATGATTTGAATCGATGTTGTTTTAGATACAAAGAATGTTTGTAATCAAATTCAACATGAAGGTAAGACACTGTATACCTATCTTTCTATACAAAATGAATATCCTCGCTCTATGTTCTGGTTACACATGAAAAGTAATCTCTCACCCTCCGCAACTAGCAGCAAAACCAGATTCAATAGAGAAGAGTTTCAGAATCATGGCAGAACACCAATGCGAGGTTAGAATCGAAGTGCTTGTCCATCCATTGACACACGCCCCCCATCAGAAGCCACAGCAGCCGTCCCGCGCGGTCGCGGAGTTTCCCTCCGCCCCGGCCGCTCACGGTCGTCCGGCAGAGAGGGCACGTCCGGCGATACCCCAGCCACGTCTCGATGCACTCCGCATGGAAGCAGTGTCCACACTCCGGGAGCCTACGGAGCTTCCCGTCCGAGGAGACCTCCCCGAGGCAGACCGTGCAGATTTCGCCGCCGGCGCAGGGGGCGCTCTGGTCGCCCCGGCAGCGGCGAACCGTCCATGGCAGCAACATCTCAAACAGGCAGCAAAAGGGCGCGAGTACGGAGACGACGAGCAGAAGGGCGTCGGAGCCAGAGAGCGACGCGCGGCGGGCAGCTTCGCGGACGGAGCCGGCGAACATGGTCATCTTCTCGGTTGGGATTTTCTCTCCGTGAAAGTGGGTTTTATACACGAAGTGTGATGGAATTGCACATGCTGGTCTTGACCGGATCGAAGAAATGGAGAGGAGTAGTTTCTCTCGCTGACTCGGTGGAGAATCTTTGGTGGAGAATCAGTCCGACCGGCGACGTTGTTCGTCTCTGTCTTTCTTTTAATCGTACGTAACGCGTCGCCTTCCAATTTTCTTAATAATTTATTATGCATGAAACTGGTGATGCCAAAGCTATGAATTTTTGCTTTTTATTTATTTATTTATTAATAAGTGTTTTATAAGCACTTCTTTTGATTAAATTACCCGTATTTATTAACTTTAGTAACGATATAAAAACGAGGAGTTAGATATTTCGTGATATTTTTTGGTGTGTCTAGTGATACATGTAAGTTCCATATAAGACTTTAGCATTGTGATGAAAATGAACTTATCATAGAAAATTGGAAAAATTCCAAATAAAGGTTTGAAGTGCCCTCATTTTCTCAAATAAGGGCTTAAAGTGATTATAACAGTTTCAAATAAAAGGCCTCACCCTGCCGGTAAGTTGACTAGCCAAATTTTTCGGCCGATCAAGGGCATTTTCGTCTAAAAATAATGTTAATATAATTTTTAGTTAGATTAGGTTAAAATTAAAAAAAAAAAAAAAGGGGGGGAGGGCTTGAACCTCCCTTGCCTGTGGCCGCCTCGACGGTGATGGCTGGCGACCTTTGCCCAAATCTAGGAGAGGGTTGCCAGACCTATGCGAGGGTCGGCGGCCCTCTTGCGGACCTGGGCGAGGGTCGCCGGCCCTCGCTAAGGCACCGACGACTCCGCCGGCCATGGCCGCCGCCCCATCGCCGGTTGGGCGGCGGCCACAGGTGGAAGGGTTGGCAAGCCAACCCCTCGTTTTTTTTTTTGAACTTTAGCTTTTTTTTAGTTTGTTTTTTTATGGAAAAAAACACAAAAGAAAGAAAAAAAAGAAAAAAAATTAAAAGAAGAAAATGCCCCTAACTCCAGTGAGGTTAGGCTCTTTATTGAGATTGAGATTACCACTTCAGACCCTTATTAGAGACAAAATTCACTTCATACTCTTATTTGAGAAAATGATGGCACTTCATGTCCTTATTTGAAAAAATGAGAGCACTTGGAGCATTTATTTGGAATTTCTTTAGGAAATTTTTTTGTAAGGGTCTTCTTAACAGGTGCGCTTAAGGATTGTGATAAGTCGCACAAGACAAGCTATTCTCGGCTTCTAAGACATTGTGGATGAGTTGTTCCAGCATCTTACGATGCTTGTGTGTTTACGAGGATGTCTTGACTGGGTCGGTTGATTGGTTTTGGTTTTTTTTTAACTTTGGAAATCGATGAAATCGAATATAATCGACTTATTTTTAATTTGACTGATGAAATTCATGATGTGACCTAACAAAGTTTGTTCGTATCTGTTTAATGTTGCTCTATACTATTAAATGAAAGATTCCTACTTCTCACCATTATTGATTGATTATTAATTGAAGATAATACTTATGAAAGAGTTTGGTATCATCCTCGGTGTACTTGCATTTAATCAAAATAATATTTCTCAATATTGTCTATAAATGATTTTGGCGATATTGTGATTACATTCCTTTTTTTCGATAATTGTGTAGAAAATAATATCTTTTTGTCGTTTTCACATATTGGACGTTCAACTTAGATAGTCAAAACCATGTGCTAAATTTCTTTACTTTTAAAGCGGTTTGGTGGTTTACCAGTAAGAACCAAACCGGTTCTCACCAAAAAAAAGAGCGGTTTGGTAGTTTCGACCCAAAAAAAATCGGTTTGGTGGTAACAGTTCGAAACCGAAACAAACCGATAACAAATCAAAATTGTTTGGTTTGAGTTATATTTCTCGGTTTGATCTTGGTATAGGTTGAAATTTTTCAAATTTTTCCAAAGTTTGTACGGGAAATACCTTCCAGATTGAATCAAACCGTATCATAATATATAACTAGTAATGGTTACGATGCGTAACCGTTTGATATTACACCCTTCCTAAATGTGGCTTTGTCCTTTAATAAGCAACGATACTAAACTTCTTCTCTTGGTTTGGTCGGCTGAAATCCAATAATAAACTAAAAAAATCGATAATCGAGTGATGGCAAAACAGGCTTTTCTTGGTCTCGGCATAGGCCGAATCAAAGAAAATTTGCACGTTACATTGCAAGAACACGTTTGAGGTGTAAACTTTGCCAAAATTTGGGTTTGTTGTAATGACAAATTAAGATGGTTTTATTTCAATTATGTAAGGCCATACGTAAGGATACATTATTCAATTGGGGCCTGAAATCTAGTAACTCTTATTTCCAATGTTTGGGTTACCGATGTTTGACCCGTTGACTATTGAAAAGGCGTGCTCTCTAGAAAGGTGGCAAAAGTCAAATGACCAAGGGCAAGGAATTGACAGATAACAACCTTGAACTAGGATCAAAGCTCTAACCAGATTCTTGCAAACGAGGTTGGTGAACTGCAGCATGCAATTAGGCCACGTTTGTTTAGTAAAAATTAAATAATTTGAAAGATATTTCTTTGAAAAGTGACTGCTTCGCTTCATCTCCTTCAGAAAATGAATAAATAAAAATTATCTTTATTATCCACGAAAACATTTACACGCAAATTGACGTCGATTATAAAAATAATTTTCTTTGTCTAATTACTCCATAGAGTAAAATAACTCATTTTCCGCTAAACAAACGTGCTCTAAAAGCGACGCGGATCGGAGAAAGAGTAGAATTTTTTATGGAGGTGTCTTTGATTACTTTTTTTTCTCTCTCTCTCTATAGTTTGATTAGAGATTAGGAAAAAGGAGATGCATTTTCCAATCTAAGCTTTTAATAAGAATTGCCCTTCATTTCCTCTCACATGGGCTGACTCGGGCCAGAACCCGGTAGGACCATTGGGCTCAGGCTTCGCGTTACCGAGCCGACTTGAGCCCGCACAACCTCATTTATATCCAGGTCGAAGCCCCGCAATCGGATGCAAATTCTCGGCGGAGTCTCTCTCTCCCCCCATGAAAAGAAAAAATAAAGTTAAAAAATAAAAGGGATAAGTACATTGAAAGTCCTAAATGCAATAGAGTTCTAAAATTTTCATAATGTACAATTAAGTCCTAAAACTTGTTACAACAGTGCAATTGAGTCTTAAAACTTTCAAAAAATGTAAATAAGTCCCAAAACTTGTCAAATTAATTCAATCAAGTCCTTCAATTAATTATACTTTTTGAAAGTTTTAGGACTTGATTGTACTTTCGTAATAAATTTTAAGACTTGATTGCACTTTCATGATAAGTTTTAGGACTTAATCACTTTTTTTGAAATTTTTAGGACCAAATTATATTTTCATGATAAGTTTTAGGGAAAATTTCAATTAAGGACCCCAAGTGGGGTCCTTTTCTCAAAAGAGGACCCAAAGTAAACATGGTGTCAAATAAGGGTCTGAAGTGCCCAATCAGTCTCAAATAGGGGCCCGAAGTGCTCAATTCGTCTCAGGTAAGGGCCTAGGTTCGCCAGCCGGTCAAATCTCGCCGGCGTCGGGCGAGGGCCGCCCTCGCCGGCGTCGGGCGAGAGCCGCCCTCGCCTGGGCTGGGCGAGGTCGGCCTCGCCAGTTGCCGGCGAGGGCTCGACCTCGCCGGCGTCGGGCGAGGCCGGTCTCGCCTGCAACGGCAAGGCCGGCCTTGGCCGACGCCGGCAACTGGCGAGGCCAACCTCGCCCAGCCCAGGTGAGGGCGACCCTCGCCCGACGCCGGCGAGGGCGGCCTCGCCTGAGGCCGGCAACCTCCGCCGGCCCCGGCTATGGCCGGCGGAGGGAAGGAAAAAAAAAATAGAGATGAACCGGAATAGTACCTGTGCTCGCCGGCCGGAGAGATTTGACCGGCCGGCGAACCCAGGCCCTTACATGAAACGAATTGAGCACTTCGGGTCCCTATTTGAGACTGATTGGACACTTCAAGCCCTATTTGACACCATATTCATTTTAGGTCCTATTTTGAGAAAAGGACCCCAATTGGGCTACTTAATTGAAATTTTCCCTAAGCTTTAGCGCACTTATCCCAAAATGAAAACAACAAAAAAAGTCTCCAAAGACCAATGTTATCTCAGCTTTCGCTGTGTGGCTGTCAAAAAGTCTCTCCGACCATTGGCATTCGCCGCCATCTCTTCACCCTCCCTCCCTCCCTCCTCCTCCTCCTCCTCTTCACCTCCCTCCAATCTCTGCCTCGGCCGGCGCTCCTTCTCCGTGCCTCGCGCCCTCGTTTCTTGGCCTCGTGAACGAGTGATCTCTGCGTTCTGCAATTAAAAAGGTTGAAGAGTTAGAGGACAGGCCTGCCGTGCTGTTTGGGAGGTCTTGAAACTGCTCAGAGTTGTGTGGCTTTTGGCTGAATGAGCGCCCATCCATGCCTTTATTAGGTACCCTCCATGCTCTACTTTCGTGGGTAGTCTTTAGTTTTCTTCTCTAGTGCAAGGCTCTGCTTGGCTCATTGCCTTACCTCGAACGCCTTATCTGCATTCCGTGTTCTTTCTTTTGTTTGTTGAGCGGGGATTTTCAAATTAGAATCTAGCAAATGATGTAATTAGCACGTAAATGTCGCGTCGCCAACTTAGGCTGCAAATGATGGCCGTGACTTCAAGAAGTTGCTTCCTTTTTTGTTCCCTGAAATTCCGAACATTGTAATTAGCTGGGCTTGAGTAACTGTCACTGGAGTAAAATCGGTGAATGTCCCGTAAGCAGAATGCATTCTTGAATTTGTGGTTGCGCAATATGGATTCTCTTCTTTCTTCTAATGACGACATACAATTAATGTCTTCGAATTGGTTATGTCTTGTGTACAGAAATTGCCACTGCCCAGCCTAACTTCCGAAATCATCTGGGTGCACTCGGGGCTCAAGCCTTTGTTCACGGTAGATTGTTCTCTAGTTCGTTTGCTTTTGGGAATGATAAAAGGCTTGCCTCATGGAAACTGTCTAACGCACCTAAAAGGATTCTCGTGGAGCCGCATCCGCCTAAGTTTGTGGTCAAGGCAGTTGCCACCCTAGAGTGCATGTGCTCTGTTCTGAACGAAGATGTGCGCTTATCTCGCGAAAGCTCACAGGTGGCTACAGGTTCAAGTTCATCAGGTGCCCGACTTGAGCCATCTGAGGACGATGGAATGGAATTGGACGAAAGAGAAAAGCTGAGGCGGATGAGAATTTCTAAGGCAAATAAGGGGAACACTCCATGGAACAAAGGCAGGAAGCATAGTGCTGGTAACTATAACTCTGAATCCCGGTGACTAATGTATGTGTTACCCTTGATCATCACCCTCAGTGAAGGTGCCATAATTCATGTGCAGAAACCCTGCAACGAATCAGAGAGAGAACTAGACTAGCAATGCAGAATCCTAAGGTGATGTCATGTAAGAATAATTATATGTTTCTTTGTTGAAGTATAGCCATAGATTATGGATGAATCTAGATTGTTATGCATTCTAGCTTGGGATGTTAAAGAGGAAACAAAGTCTCAGATAATAACATTTGGAAGGAAGCAAACTCCGGCTTCCTCATGAAAATATTATCTCCAATGATGGAATTCTTGGTTGCAATTTTACAAAATTCATGTGGTCTCATATGAAAAATTGGCTTTGCAGGTCAAGATGAAGTTGATCAACCTCGGACATGCACAGAGGTTGGTAATGCATACTTTCTTCTGGTTTTGTATACCAATGGTGACAAGATCTTGGTATTTTACACTTGCAAAATTTTTATTAGTGTCTTTGCCTTCGAATGCTCAGAAAATTTTTCTGTCTTTCTTTAAATGAAATTCCAGTGAGAAGACAAGACTGAAAATTGGTGTTGGAGTTCGGATGGGGTGGCAAAGGCGTCGGGAAAAGTTGATGGTGCAGGAGACATGCTATAATGAATGGCAGAACTTGATTGCAGAAGCATCTAGAAAAGGTTATGTAGGTGAGGAGGAGTTGCGGTGGGATTCGTATGACATGTTGAATGAACAGCTTGAGCGTGAGTGGTTAGAGAGCGTTGAGCAGCGGAAAACGATGCTTAGGCCAAAAGGTAGCAAGAGAGCTCCAAAGTCGCCAGAGCAAAGAAGAAAAATTGCAGAAGCAATTGCAGCAAAATGGGCAGATCCCGTAAGGGCTTTAATAAAATGTCATGAAATGAATATCGCAAATTATAATTTGTCCATTTAGATTCTCACAATTTGTTTTCCAGTATGTCAGTTAATCAATTGATTCTGTTAATAAATGGATAAGCAAACTTCACTTCTATGTACATGTCCACATATCTTCTATTTACAAGTTCACCTTCTTAATAGTAATTTATTGCCAAATACATAGATAAGATCACTTTCTAAGAAAAAGAATCAAGGTTTATGAAATGGTGAATAGAAGGAAAGACCAATAATCTTGAGTATGAGGGAGAATTATTATCATCCTATCTGGTTGAAAAACAGGTCTGCTGACTATATTTTGATCGACTTAAATCTGCCGTTCCAAGTCTAGATTGAAATGAATTAATAGGAGCTTCAGATGTATCATGTTATTATGGAACATATTTTTATACAGTGTTGCAGACCATCTAATGGAATATGTAATCTTACTATATTCTGCCATAATCCCAGTGTGGGGTATGATGCATATTTGACCTTCTGTATCTGAGCTGAAGCTCGACTATGTTTCTACCCATGTACTTCCTTGATGCTAATCTTGAAGAGTGAATGCATTACAAAAACGATTTGGTCCACGGAAGATCCCAGATAGATCATCGGGTTCTGATTTTTTCTTATGGACTTGACCTGAGTTCAATTGTAGGCCCCCAGTTAGTCCACCAATTCACTCATGGGTCAATTGTCATGCAACCACGTGTTCTTATGTTATTTATGCAATGTGTTTGGCTAAAAGCTGATTATGTTTGTTTACTTAGGTGGCTCGGAAATTGTGTAAACCTCAGCTTCTCGGAGTCGAATGGAATAGAATAGATTGCTTTTCACCCTTTCCTTATACTAAACTTTCTCATCACTGTAATACAAGTTTCCATATTTCAAATGTCTGTTCTCGGTAAAGCATTAGCATTCATGCTCACTATGAGATCCCACTTATATTTTCCTGAAAATTGTTTAATTTTTCCGAACAGGAATACCGCGAACGAGTCTGTTCTGGCCTGGCTAAGTATCATGGAACACCAGTTGGAGTTGAAAGAAAGCCAAGGAGAAAGCCAGCTGACGCCGGCGGTACACGACCAAGGAAAAGGAGCCCATCTCAGAAAAAATCTAGTGACATGGACAGCACTCCCAGACTAGATCATCAGAGCCAAATCCAAAAACTGAGACTGAAGAGAAGGAAAACTCCTCTCTTTAAGGATCCTTTGGCAAGTTCTAAGTTGGAGTTGATAAAGAGTATCAGGGCACACAGAGCAGCTCAAGAAACAAACAAGACCGAAGCCATAGCACGAGCAAGGTTTGTTCACTTGTTTATAATGAATTACTTATAAGCAGAACCTTGGAGCCCTCTAGACACGCGATAGAATCTAGTATAATGCTTTGCTTTATTTGATAATTTAATCAGTGTAGAGGTCATTTGATGTCAGACTTCTAGAAATGGACTTTAGAAAATTTATCCTTCTTGGTTTAAGTATTTCATAGCCGAGGTATGGCTACTGCGCAGCAATACTATTCTAAAGCATCATATTCCAAACAAAACATCCACATTCGGTTCCACCGTTCTTGTTATAAAGCTTCTCCAAAAGTTTCAGACCGTATGTTTCGATGTTTTGAGTCTCTTCTTTGGCGAAATGTGGCGCAGGCTATTGATTGCTGAAGCTGAAAGGGCAGCCAAAGCATTGGAGGCTGCTGCAGTGAAGAGTCCCATTGCTAGAGCTTCCCTTGCAGAAACCAGAAAGCTTATAGCTGAGGCCATTCAATCGATTGAATCAATAGATATAGGATCTATGCCTTCCACTTACAATGGATCATACCCTTCAGCCGCCCTACCAGATCTGATCAATCATATTGAGGAGGAAACAGCTACAGTCTCCGGGAATCGACGGAACCGGAGAAAAGTCAATGGAAGCCAAGTGAAGACATGGGAGGACAGTGATGGGAACTTCGATTTCGGAGGATTCAGCTTGCCGGATGTGCTCGATGAAGAAGGCGAACTTGATCCGATCGACTTGGGTTTCGTCCCTCTTGATTTGGAAGCTCGAATGGACCATTCGGGGGAGCGGCATGACATACCGGAACCAAATGGCCTTGTAGGAGGTGAAAGCAGATCTTTACCAAACGGAACCAAAACTAATGTTCAATCAACGGGAAGCGAAACATGCTCTAAGCCCATTGCAGCGACGAAGAAATGGGTACGTGGTAGGCTCGTGGATGCGGCCGACTGATTCTTTGGTCTTCAATGAAGTAAAACCTGCTGATAAAGTGAACGGAGTTACATGTACATTTGAAGTTGATTATAACTATGAGCTAGAGGCCGGTTCTCGAATTCGGGACTATAAATGAATCAATCCGCTGTGGCGGTGAGGAACTACAGATCGATGTACCATTCGAGATACGATTGTAGAAGGGCCTCTCTTAATCGAGATGTTATTGCTGTAGGAGCAAATCTTAGATTGAGCTGATGACCATAGGGGATGTCTTAGATTGAGTTGTACCATCTATCTATTCATTTGCCATCTTGTATGTTGTCTTTGACGAGCTACAGTTAACAGAGACTTGATCAGCCTTGGAAGTGCCAGAACTTCAAATATGAGGGCCACACAGGATCTGGATATGAACAGTGGGCACATCAAAACTCAAAAGAACCCAGATAAACCAGAAATTGAAAGACAGCTTTCTTCAGACCAGTCGGGAATGTCTGATTTCACACGTTGTTTGAACTATTTTTCCAGTCATATTGCAGAGAGAGAGAGAGTAAAGAGTCTCTCATGTCTCATCCTATTTTCTTGTGGAGTTACAGTACACGTTAAGAGTCATTTAACAGGAGAGAGAGGCACTTGGGGACTGTTGATTTTGGACTCCAGGGCCTCCTCAAATTGTTTCCTCTTCTCTTCCTTCTCCCTTTTCCCTTTCTCTATCTCCTTCTCAGCTTCCTCCTTCTGCAAATCAATGAACCCTCAGTCACTAACTCAGCTTTTTAAGGCATGAAAGTCAATAACACAGGAATGACAGAGAGAGAGAGAGAGAAAGAGAGAGAGGACGGTGCAACATGGGCATCCCCCAAGCCGCCTCTCCCGACGCCGGGCCGCCTCGGCCAGCAGCAGCTCATGGTGACCAAGCCGCCGACCCGAGCCGCTGTCCCCGGAGTGAAGCTCCCGGTCCCCGACATTCTCGACGTAAATTTCTCATTCTTTTTGGTGCCACGAAAATTTTCAGTTACTTTGCCTTCGCCTTCAAGACCAATAAGTGAATAGACCCATGTTGAGTTACCCGATGGATTTCTGGGTTGATTTTATCCGATAAGTAAATCCTCAAGCCAGAGCCCAGAGAGAAATAGAACTATGCAGGCAAGGAGGCTTATTGGAAAGGAATCTGAATAAATGGGTGATGGAGCGCCCGGCGAGGCTTTGCATGGAAGCTACGTGTTAAAGTGCCCGAAAATGCTCCAAACTTCGAGAGTTTTCTATCACCTGCCTTGCACCGTGTGCATGACTGTATGCAAGGCGGAATTAATTGAGCCCATCTGACTCTCAAAGTGTATACATGTCAACAAGAGAACTAGCAAAACAGAGGAAACAAGAGATTGGCAATCAATTTACCTATCTCCCAATTATTTCTTTCGGGATGACAAGTTCCTTTTGCCAAATAGAAAGGTCTGTATTCGTGTCTATCAAATGCGAAGATGAACTTAAAGTTTGATCCTAAAGCAGAATTTTGGCTACTTGGATTTCATCCAAAAGATTGCCACAAAACATGATTTTGTATCCCAAATCAACATTATTAATGGACGGTACTTACTTTTGATCTCAAAACTGCATCCTCTTTATTCCGATTGGCAATGTGCTTTTTTTTTTTTCGGGCCAATGAGTGATAACTCTCAAATTTACATTGACGATATCCTCTTATTCAGTCCCGATGGAGAATCTTATTGTATCCTACTAACACAGTTTGCCGATATTATATTACCGAGCAATATGGAATCATGCCTTCCTGGAAGATAATGGCGATAGCTTATAAGGAAATTGAATTTTTAGGAGTGCATCTCAAAAATGGTTCTTACTATCCTGGTGACCATATTGCCGAAAAAATGGTTGAAGTTTCATGATGAAAATCTTTCAACAGTTCCTAGGTATTGTAAAGACTTTGTGCCAAAGATCTCAAAGTTCATGCACCCCAGCAGAAAATGCTAAAGAAAGGACCCCTCCTTGGGGAACATCTTAAACAAATGCAGTCAGAATACTCAAAGAAAAACTCCAGAATTTGCTTCCGTGCCAAATTCCTTCAGATGGCAAGAGGATCCTTCGGAATGATGCAAGCGACAAGTATTGAGCAGCAATCCTCTTTGAAAAAATTGATGGCAAAAGACAAATCTATGGATTCAAGAGTGGAATATTCACAAATGTCGAAAGGTACTACTATTCCACTTTCAAGAAAATTTTAGCTGTTAAGTATGGAATTAAAAAGTTTTGAATTGCATCTTATTGGCTATCACTTTCTTGTAGAAATGGATATGTCTTTGATTATTCAAACGATGAAGTTCAGACAGAAGACAATCCCTCATCCACAACTGCTCAAATGGACATAACGACTTTCCAAGTACTCCTTTGAATTGTACTTTTAAGAAATAACTATTTTTTCATTTGTTTCTTTTTCTTGTTTTTCTTGAGAGAAAATGATATAAATGGTCTTTCAATTTTAATCTAATATGAAATGTCGTCCCTGAACTTTTAATTTGTTCAATGTGATCCCCGAATTATTAATAAATATTCAATGTAGTCCTTCCATTTGTTGAAACGACATATAAGACATTATCTAATGACGTGAATTATTATATTTTAAGTTGGAGATTTAAAAATAATAAATCAATATATCCATCCCTTTATCCATCTAATTTAAAAAAGGGAAAAAATATGAGCGTTAACTTGTTATATTTAGATTTGAAAAGAATGTCTTACATAGATAATCGCGCTTAACTTTTTATTTGGTCTACTGATCAAACTTAACGGATTGGAAGCCGCGATCGGCAGATCCCATTGCTATGAATTAAGAGAATGACGACATTGAATATTTTTTATATACTTTATGGACTAGATTGAATATTTATTAATAATTCATAAATAATATTGAATAAATTAAAAGTGTAACCGTTTGTATAATTTTCTCGAATTTTGGAGTTAAGGCCCCTATAATAAGTCGCATTCTCGATTTGGTCCCTTCCTTCCTTCATTGTTACGGGCCGTTTCCTTGTCCCTTTCAACCACCGACACCTCCTTCTTCTTCCTCACCAAAGATCATCACTCTCTCTCCGAAGATCTTCTTCTTCTTCTTCTTCGTCCTCTTCGTCAGATCTGATATCAAAGCTCGACGCAGCATTGCATCAATCGGCGCCACCTGCATCGCGCTACCGACCTCCGCTTTCGGCCGCTCATCGGAATCGGCGGCGGGAACATCGCTCCGCAATCCCGCCATCGCCGACCCTTTTGGAGGCCAGCGAGGTTTGCGCCGGGATGGCGCGAGACGCCGCCTCCTTCTCCTCCGACGAGGAGGACGACCATCGGAACCTTATCCACCAGAACGACACCAAGCCGGTGTCGCCCGGGGAGCATCGAGCGGCCGCTTTCGACGTCGAGGACTTCGAGTCTCGCATCGGCGGCGACCGCCGGCCGAAGCTGGCGAAGCTCGCGTTCAACAAGAGGTACCTGTTCGCCGTCTTCCTCCCCATCTTCATCGTCGTCCTGTACTTCACCGCGGACCTCCGCGGCTTGTTCTCGTACAATGTTTCGTCGATTAAGGCCGGTTCGTTCGGCGATCGCATGAGGGAGTCCGAGCTGCAAGCTCTGTATTTGCTAAGGCAGCAACAGCTAGGGCTTCTGACTTTGTGGAATCAGACTTTTCGGGATTTAGGAGCTGACCAGAATAGTAGTCTGAGTGGCTCGAATTCGAGTGAGATTAATAAGGGGCATCAGTCCTTGGTGTCGTCATCTGCGTCATTTGCTGAATTTAAGTCCGCCGTGCTAAAGCAAATTTCGTTGAATAAAGAGATTCAGGATGTATTGTTATTGCCTCATCAGTCTGGTAACTTGTCCGCGGAAGGTGCTGGTGATGTAGGGTTTGCAAATTTTGGTGGATATGGTTTCGACCGGTGTAAAAAAGTGGACCAGAGGTTTTCGGAGAGGAGAACTATTGAGTGGAATCCGAAATCTAATAAATTTCTGCTTGCAATTTGTTTATCGGGCCAAATGTCGAACCATTTGATTTGCTTAGAGAAGCACATGTTCTTCGCTGCTGTACTTAACCGGGTTTTGGTTATTCCAAGCTCTAGAGTCGATTATTCATACCATAGGGTGCTGGATATCGATCATATAAATCAATGCTTGGGTCGGAAGGTTGTCATTTCATTTGAGGAGTTCTCAGAGATTAGAAAGAACCACTTGCATATCGATAGGTTCATTTGTTATTTCTCTTTGCCGCAACATTGTTTTGTTGATGATGAACATGTCAAGAAGTTGAAGAATCTGGGGCTATCAATGGGCAAGCTTGAGTCCCCCTGGGTGGAAGATGTGAAGAGGCCAAGTAAGAGGACAGTCCAAGACATCCAGGCAAAGTTTGCATCTAATGACGACGTTATTGCAATTGGAGATGTTTTTTTTGCGGATGTAGAGCAGGAATGGGTGATGCAACCTGGTGGTCCGCTTGCTCATAAATGCAAGACTTTGATTGAACCAAGTCGTCTGATTATGCTTACAGCGGAACGTTTTATCCAGACATTCTTGGGAAAGGACTATATTGCTCTTCATTTTCGGCGACATGGTTTTTTGAAGTTTTGGTGAGTTACTTATTCCATCTAGTATATCCTGCCTAGCTGTTAGATGCAGATAGAATGCGGTTATAGATTTGGTCAGGAAGAAGTTGCGATCATTTTTATAACACGAATGAGTTAGTCGTAGAACTAGGCTTGCTGTTGGTTTACTTGCAACTCTCTTTAGTGTACGTTAAGCATGGTCTTAATCCAGGTGCAACGGCTTTTGGTCACTTGCATGTACTGTTACGTTAAGAATGCTAGCAACATGTAGATCTTGGATTAATTAGGAGTTCTTTAAATCTCTCTCAAATTCAGTAACATTGAAGCAATTCGAATGTTAAACTTCTTCATCTGCTATCTTTATCTTTTTCGATGGCTTTTTTTTTTTATCTAAGTTCTACACGGCCTTCAAGTAGGATGACCAAATGTCCAGTTCATTATTGGCCTCTTCGTCTGAAATATATTTTCACTATTGGGACTTGTGCCATCCCAGCAAATTCTTGAGGGAGAATATTGAACTGATTCAAGTATTAAAGTGCACCTTTCAGTTCCATTGAGTAGGTTAATCTAATAGTAAACGTGGATATGGTCACTCATAAATTCTGCATACAAGAAGCTTCTGTTAAAGAAATAATGGTAATGTTACCTTCAGAAAGCAAATTGTAGATAAAAATATCTGAGAAGATGTTTTGATAAGTGTTTCTTCTTATCTAAACTGTATGCTCTAGCTGCTGGAGGAGGCCTTTTCTTTAGCTTTTTCCATTGGAAACTGTAGATAAATATGTGAAGCCTGATGGAGTAAGTTCTAGCTTGAATGATGTGACGTTAATTTTGTTGAACTTCAGACAAATTTTCAGCTTTATTGTTCATTTTGGATTGTAGATTGTTGTTCTGGATGATTGTGTCTCAACTTTAGTTCTGGCTTTCATTGGTGCCACTGCCAGTTGTTTTTCTGGCAAAAAGTTTCTACTAGTCCATTAGTTAACTAATTCTTGTCACTGAAGCTCTAATTGATCTGCTTATTCTGGTAGCAATGCGAAGAAGCCCAGTTGCTTTTACCCTATTCCTCAAGCTGCTGATTGCATCAGTCGGGTGGTTGAAAGAGCCAATACACCTGCAATTTATCTTTCCACGGATGCAGCAGAGAGTGAAACTGGCCTGCTGCAATCACTAATTGTGGTGAATGGGAAAGTTGTTCCCCTTGTTAAACGCCCTGCTAGTAATTCGGCGGAGAAATGGGATGCTCTGCTTTATAGGCATGGCCTCCAGGATGATGTGCAGGTTAGCTCGTGGTTCCTTCTCTTTTTCACTTGTTTTTTGATACCCCCTTGCATAGGAGATTACCACATCAAGCATTTGTGGAACTGAGCTGGTAAATCGTGAAACCTGTCAATTATTGACCTTTAGAATTTGCATAAAAAGTGAGGAATTTGCTATCAACCTCTCAGCGTTGCGTGATTTCTCATCTTGAATGATCTTGGTGTTGCGTGTTTTACGCCATACAAGTTGTATTTTGGGCTTCCCATGCCATAACAATCACGTAAGCAATTAGCTACTGTCGGAATTTCTCCATCACAAATTGCAAGTTTAATGGTTCCATGCCTTGAGGTAAATGCATGTCTTGTAATATGTGCTGATTTCTCTGGAGAGAGGTATCGGATAGTATGAGGTCCTGCAGTCTCCTGGCCCGTAAGATCGCTTGGATTGATGAGTTGGAGCATGATGTGAGTAACAATGAGTGTAAATGCTCTTCATATCGGTGCTGAGATGCAGTTATTAGCATCTAGAAAAAAGCTAATCATTTGCTTTCTCTGGTTCAATAAATGCGCAACATATTTAATGGTTTGAGCCTTGATGGAATCTGGACGTCTCTAATTTATCGATCTTATTCTTTTTTATTTTCGCTAACAGTTTTAAAGAATGATGGTAAGTCATTTGGTGAAGAAGAACCCTTATGGCCTTTTATGTTTTACTGCATGATGGTCTCTAAAGAGCGTCGTGATTTTCAACTGATGAAGTTTACACTGGTATTTTCATGTTTTTCATCTGTTAGATTTTAAGACAGGAGTAGATCTCTATTGGGAGCTCAAAGGCTTTCCTATGCTGTCCATTTATGTGGATGTCTTGTAGTTCCTGTTGGTTCATAAGCAGCCATTACTTCCTCTAAAGCCTAGATGTTGTGATGATGCTTTTTGTGCCTTAATAGAATGAGCGCCTCGCCTATTTACCCGGTTGGTTATAATATGAGAAGAAACCGGCAAGGTCGAGTTGTTCAAGCAGTTAATACATGAGAGCATCTGATATTTGTCATCGTTTGCTTGTTTGAACCGTATCAGCTCTTGGTAAAAACTTACACATCACGTCTTTAACTGAAGGTGGAAGCTATGCTAGACAAGACGATTTGTGCAATGTCGAGCGTGTTCATTGGAGCGTCCGGATCAACATTTACAGAGGACATATTGCGGCTCCGGAAGGACTGGGGATCAGCCTCTGTTTGCGATGAGTACTTGTGCCAAGGTGAAGAGCCGAACTTTATAGCGGGCAAAAAATGAAATGGACACCATGTGCCAGTTGGTTATTGAGATGAGGTTTCTGCTCTCGTCGCTGTCCCTCGGAATACATCGCGTGTCGATACCTTAATGTACTATAGCATCTTTGTATATGTGCATAGTTTTCAATTTATACAATTCTCTTCTCGCTTGGCCGTCTCTGATCATTCTTTTTTGCCGAAAGTGATCCTCCTCTGTAGTCGTTCCTCCCACCTGTTCTTAAGAACAAAAACGCATGTAGCTCGTAGTGTTTCGGATTGAGTTCTCAGTAGCTGGTCACAATAATTTTTGTCAGCATGGAACTTTGCTATAGTTCTTCGCTCGAGTTGAGGATTAGAGTGCATTTTCACTTGTCACTCATTTGTCTTTGGTCCGTCTCCATTTGACTTTCTCTTGAATCCCCAAGGTTCCCCCTGAGCTGGACCCATCCGCTAATTCAGGAAAGAAAAAAAAATGAAAATATTTTGATATAAATTATTATTGATAATGAAAATGTTTTTTATTAACTAATTATTTCAAGCGATCGTTTTTCGAAAAATAATTTTCAAACCATTCAATTTTGCGTGAAATAAACGGAGTCTTAAAACTCGCAAAGCATGCTAGATAAATCTTTTTGTTTTATCTTTTTCTCTTTTTTTTTTAATTTAAGTTTTAGAACGGGCAGCATTTGACTTTTCTTTGGTATTAAGTTTTCGAAACTTTCGTCACATATGAATTTTGATACGCATGCTTACATTAATTTTTCTTTAATAATGTTTGGAATTGGAATAATAATATTTCGAACTTAATGAAAAAGGCTTTCACGAACTTTTTAGGTAGGCACCTGGAAGTTACCCTATGCATTACCCAAAAAAAGTATATCTCTAGCCATACATACATACATAAGACGAGACAAGAGCAGCCTTCATATTTTTTTAAGGAGACAACCTTTGTACGGAGCGACCACGAAGTTACCTTGCATTACCTTAAAATCTCTCTCTCTCTCATTATACATAAGACGAGACGTGCGCAGCCTTCACCTTTTCGGGGCATATAAAGCGTAAGCAAGCGCAGCTTCAAATCTCGCGCCGCACTCGCTCGCTCGCTACCTACGACCCAGCTCCTCGAACAAGAACACCCATTTTGATCCTCCCTCGCCCCCACCTTCATCCAGTCTCCAATGGGTTCCGCTTCGGTTTGACCATACAGATCCTCTTCGGGTCCTCGCATTCGTCGTGCTACTGGGTGTCGCGGGAGATTGGAGGAATCCCGAACCATGAGGGCGAGGTTGGTCGTGTTCCCGGTCAGAGGCAGGAGCTGGTGCTTCGGCCGGTCGCTCGATCGCTCTTGTCTCGACTCCGCCTCCTCGCCGACGCCGTCCACCCTCAGGGAGCTCTACGGCAAGATGTCCGCCGGCGGGAACGCCTCCAAGCTCGAGCTGTGCGTCGATTTCGTCTCCGACAAGGTGGTTGTCCTGTCGCCGTTGACATTTGAATCCCGTTTTGCTCGTTTGGGTGCGGTTGCAGTTTCTGGGGTGGTGATTGATTGTGAGGGGGCGCGTTTTGCGATTCACTCTTGGCTTTTTTCCCTTGGTTTGTGCAGATGAATAGAGCTTGGATGGGTTTGGAGAACGCGCCCGAGGGGTCTTTCAAGAGTAAAATGCACGGGTAAGTAGTCCATGGAAGCGGAGTTTATCATTCTTTTGTCACTCCGAGATTGTGAAATTTTTGGAAGTCGCTACTTTGTTGGGTGAATTCGTCTGGATGCTAATGTAGGTTAGGATTGAAGCTGTTGGCCCGGGTAAAGCCCTCGGAAATGTTCCTCAAATCCATTTCGAAGGAGGTTTCTTCTGTCGAGGTGATCTACCCTTCAAGGTTGGCGTTTCTTTCTCTTCCCCTTGAAATCGGTCAACATCCCTTACCATTCATTTTCATGTTGGAAATGGTGATCTAAGTGAGGAATGTCGATCGATGTGTTTGTGGCGTGTAACTGAATAATTCCATCTGATGCTGTTTATAAGTTTTGGAAAGAAACAATTGAAAAGGTGTTGTATCAGTGGACTTAATACTTATAGCCCTTGTCTTGCTGCAGCTTAAACACGCGTCTTGTGCGCAGAAGGTTGCGACATATCGCCAAGCGGTAATAGTTTCATCCTTCCTACTTTTCCCATTTGCACTATGATATTGGAATATTTTCATTATAAGCCTATTTGATCAATTATTTGCTGATAACTTCAGATTTTTGGCCTGGGTTGACGGTACCATATTTGTGCACATTTTATATCTGTTTCTAGCTAAAGCTCATACATTCTTGTGTGCTTGGATGTTTATTTTCTATGAAAAGCTCCTTTTATAATTGCCCTCAAAAGTCTAGATTTGAGTCACCATTCATTTCTTCTGGTTAGTAGCACCAGATATATGTTAAGTTTTACTTGGAGGCTTTTAAGCTTGATGGACTGTATCATTCGCCAATGGCGATGTTTGTCATTCATTTTAAAACAAGGTCAATCAATGTTTCAGACAGAAGGATTGGTGAAACTTGATAGCCCATGTTGTCATCAATACACTTTTCTGTTTTTCTTGAAGGCATTTCATGTTCCAATTAGCTCATGATGTGTGCATTTAGTTGGAGCAGTGTTTGTTGGTATGTTGATGTTGTTAAAATCTGAAGGCATATTGTTATACCTTCCCGTAGAGATCCTTTTGTAGAGATGGGTGTAAGAAGGTAATCACCTGAAAGCATACTGGTGTACCTTCTAGTGTAGATTAGATGTAGGAAAAAGTTATCTTGGTGTGAGAACGTCATTTGTGGAATGTGATATATTTGCATCACAATGGATGTGTTATCAGTTTGTTGCATCCAACAGGATACATCATTTGCATTACTTTGTCCTAAGATTCCTTGCAGTTTGTGTCTACTTCTAAACTTGCATGTGTACAATGGACATGGTTCACTCTACTTGTCCTCTCTTGCCGAGATAAGATGGCAAGAACTTTCATTACTGGAATTTATCCTTTTCTTTCTCAGGAACCTGAATGCATCAATATATTATATTGCATATATTCTACTTGCTCATGTTTGGGGAAAATCATCTGAGTTCTTCTTTTCCATGAACAGGGGATCCATTATCCACAGAAAGTACTTCTATGGCTCTGCTTCTTTGTTGCCTATAACAACTGCTTTTTCTGTAAGTATTAAGTTGTGGCATATCATCTTCTTTGGCATTTATTCGGGCTCAACAAATTGTGGTGTTGACCAAGTATATTCACTCTGTTATTTCTTTAATCTTAAGAAGGCAATTTTTTCTGAATTCTTACATTTCTTCCTACTTTTAGGTCTTACCTCTACCTAACATCCCTTTCTTTTGGGTTCTGTTTCGCACTTACTCTCATTGGCGAGCTCTCCAGGTATTGACTTATTGCAATTCTTTTACATATTTAGTTCACTGAAGTGTGTACTTCTGTAGGATTAATTAAACAATAAGTATGTGATTTTCTCCTTTTGGGATTTGACGGTTTTTAGATCTTATCTAGAAGCATTACAGGATTGATAGTCCTTGTTTTTCACAATGTATATCACATTCTGTCATGATTCCTTTGTTCTTCCATTCTTTAATCTTCTTCAGCTTCTTATGCAGTAATTGCCCAATCGGTTGTCACTTGCCTTATGCTATCCTGGATCAAGCTACCTTTGGAATTTAATTGTCGCCAATGCAACTAATTTTTGTTTATAAAGCATGGTTGTAATTTTTCTGTGGTGGAATAAGTCGATCGCTCTCATATCTTGCTTATGATTTGCTTAGCGGTTGTTAGACAACCACGCTTTCATTCTTGGGATCGATATAGCCATGGTAAATTATTAGTCATAGTATGTAGATGTCAATATCCATCCGTTTCCTTGTTATACTGATGTATTCTTCCACTTCATCTGTTGATTAACAACAGGGCAGTGAGAAACTCCTAGAGCTAGTGTCAAATTCCTCGGTTGCTTGGACTTCGCCTTCCACAAGTGCCAGTGGTAAAGACCAGGAGGGCTGTGAGTCCAAGGATGGAGCCCCCAATCCAGTAGGATCTCTATGGGTAAGTTCAAATACTCGTTGACCGTACATGATTCCTCAGATAAGCACCTGATGGGTGGCATTATGTTTGATTGTTGGTACTCGTGTCTTCTTCCTATCTAAGGGAGTGCCTTTTCTTTTTCCATCATTTTCACTCTGAACAAGTTTTAGCTCGATGTAAAAGATGCTTTTTTTCTTTCCTTCAAGATGGTGTCACTTGCAGCGTGTGGAAGACTTGTTACAGCAATAACACATGCAGAATCATCACAAGCCGTTTGTTTCTTTCCATGTTGTCATAGGTGTTGCTGCCATCGGAGCAACTGGAAGAATTAACGAGCTGTGGCAAAGAGCAGGATGCCCTGACCAAATCCGTGATTACAAGCATCTGCGAAACTTATAAGTTGAACACGAACGATGTTTTGAAGTACAGAGACTCAATGTAAACCCATTCCTTTTTCACTTTTGAACCTGGTCTCCCTGAATGGAGAAAAAGGGGAAAAAGAAAAAGCATTCTCAGTGTTCAAATGTTGTTCTGCTAGGCTGCTAGATTAGCACTGTATCCCTCTCCCCATGTAGCTCATTGCTAAAGTTCGCGTCTCGGGGGCTGCTTCTTTGTGTTACCTTTTGCACAGCTTTTCCGTGTTATGATTGGGGCTCAGTAGCCGAGATTTCAAAGTTGCAAGGTTCAAGCAAGTGCTAGCATCTTGTGTTTCGGTCCGGTTTCCAGTTAACCCTTTCTTTAAACCTCACTATCCACCACTGTTTATTGACTGTGCCAAATTACGATCCCCTCATTGTCGCTCCTAATATTACTGGGTTTGCCTTCGTTGTCCTCACTTTCATGGTTTTGCGTTGCTCTTTCTAGATTTATGCCTTCACTCTTGTTCTTGGAAGGTTTTTTTTTTTTGAATTAGAATTGTCACAGACTGTAATAGCGGAAATAACATGGCCATCCTCCTATTCAGATTATATAACCATCATTATCATATTATTAAGATAACTGTATATCCTTCTATATGTATGAAGAAAAAGTAATATGAATATTTACTTTCCGAACTAAAAACTAAATATTAACAAAATATCATATCAGATGTATACTCAACTATCTAAACTCATGCCCAAAATTCGACTATTAAAAATCCTCGTCGATATCGTTCTCGTTCTTTTTGTCGATAGCTGAAGAACTTGACAAATGTTTACCATCAATGGTATAAACAACTACAGCCTAGTGAGTAGTGAATAGTCCATTTCTTTTTTAAACAGATCGAGCATCGATTGTGCAAATTTATAGAAAATATCAGAAACTCAATAATTTAAACTAGAATATAATATACGTACCAAATTAAATATGAGTTATTTCATTTCAATAGAGCTTTATACGTGTCAGAAATACACATTTCATTAACAATATCAAATCAAACATCAATGGTCCATTTCATTGATCAATTTAGTGCTTAATATCCAATCGTGGTCACGCTTAACGTCTCTTGGCAAAGGCAACCAAGTTCTCCCATAACTATGTCTCTACTTATATCAGCTGGTGACTTAGACTAGAAAAATATCCCAAAATAGTATGCACACCTACAACCCCCTCAATTCGTTCACATTAATAATGAGCCGGGTTGGGGGAAGCCGTTCTCTAAGAAAAGATAAAAAGACAATCTTATCTTACATTTTTTTGGAAGGTCTTGATGATAAACTTGCAACCATGAAAAAACCTATCGGCGATTTCGAACTCCTGAATGAATGCTCAATGAGTTGCAGATTATTCGGATTCTTATTTTCTCCATCATACTATTGAAGCGAGAAGCCCTTTGATCTGCACGTCTATATTTATTAATGAAGAAGGGAATTGGAGGTGTTTAATCCCTGCCTACTCATTTTCAAACTGATGAAGTTGTTTACATTTCTTAGCCACACCGCTTAAAGCTACTTCATTTGGATCAATGCATTAACATTATCCCGAAATCCACAAAACAAATTCAAAATCCATATCGTAAATTGATTTTATAAATCAAAACATAAAACCTTTCACAACAAAATACATTGTATAACCGGGTTCACAATCAGAATATATAACCTTTTGCAATTCCTTCCATAAAACATTTTTCAAAGCATTTCACAAATAATCAATTCCCAACTATTTCTAAGAAATATTCTGCTATATCATTTCAAATAGGGTTAATACCACGAAAAATCCTAAACTGGTACACTTGTGACACATTTACCCCAAACTATTTTTTTTGATCATAAAAAACCCCAAACCGGTACACCGTGATAATTTTACCTCGAACTATTTTTGACCATAAAAACCCCAAACCGGTACATCCGTGACAATTTTACACTGAACTGATCACAAAACCTCAAACTGGTACATATGTGACAATTTTACCCGAATTAAAATTTTAATATTATTTTTTATTTTTCGAATTTTTATTTATTTATTTATTTTTTCCTTTTTTTCTTTATCTTCAACCTCTCGTCGGCCGCCGGTCCCGCGATCGGCCGAGGCGGCCGGCGAGGCCGCCCTCGGCGGCGTCGGGCGAGGCATCCTTGCAGATCCGGCGAGGCCGCTGCTGGCCGGTCGGCGAGGGCCGTCCTCGCTAGATCCGGCGAGGGCGACCCTCGCTGGTATCGGGCGCAGGGCCGCTCGCTCGCGCCGGCGCGAGGCCGCCTCGCCCGCCTGAGGGCGACCCTCGCCGACTCACGAGCGGCGACCCGCCCTGCGTCGGCAGGCCGCCTCGCCGGCCGGCGAGCGGCACCTCGGCCTAGGCTGGCGAGGACGGCCTCGCTCGAGCCTCGGCGAGGGCGGCCCTCATTGGCGCCGGCGAGGACGCGCCCGCCCAACGCCGGAGAGGCCGCTCGCTAGATCCGGCGAGGTCGCCCGTGCGAGTCGAGCAAGGCGGCGGCCTCGCGGCCAGCTGGGGCGCCCTCGCCGGCACGCCTGGCCGGTCCGGACCGGCGACCGGCCGAGGTTGAAGTGAAGAAAAAAAAAAGAAAAAGAAAAAAATTCAAAAAAATAAAAAAATTTAATATTAAAAATTAGTTGGGGTAAAATTGTCACATGTGTACCGCTTGAGGTTTTTGTGATATGTTCGGGTAAAATTGTCAATTGTACTGTGCTTGGGATTTTTATGGTCAAAAAATAGTTTGGGGTAAATGTGTCACAAGTGTACCAGTTTAGGGTTTTTCGTGGTATTAACCTTTTCAAATAATCAAAAGGGTAGTAAATGGCCGATCTGAATTTTATACAACAAATATGCTCAAACTTCTCTTTTCCCTTTTTATAATATCATTCCATGCCATGCCTTTCATAACTTATAATAAATCTAATCTCTATCACTTTCAAGACATAAGTTTACAATTTTAAAGAAGAGATGAGTATTAATGGAGCCCTTTTGCGTGTTTTCTAATTGAGAGAAAACATGCGTTCTTTTTTATACATTGTCTTGTTTGTCTATTTTCTCCAATGACACCTCTTCAAAGGGTGTCTCTCAAACACACATTTCATCGTCGAAACGGTGCCATTTAACATCTCCCACTCGAACATGATGGGTTTGACAATACTTTATCAAGAATATAAGGCGTTTAACACTCTATCATTTCTTATGTTGACATCTTTTTTCTAAAAGTCCACCAAATGGATGATGTTCTCGGGTGATGCAATAAAATAATAAATAGCCTAATCTGAATAAGTCCACCTGCTTTGTGTGAGGCCCAACACGACCAATCTATTCATACGGTTGCCATCCTAAGATTCCACAACCAACGAGACAAATCAGAGATCAACAAAAAAGTGGAACTAAATACAAATGGATATGATAGATTCACCGGCCAATGGAAGGAGAGTAGCAAAAATTGTTAATTTCCACGAACCTTACCACAACATGAAAAGCAATACAAAACAACTTGATTTGCAACTTAACGTACTCTTTAAAGAAAGTGATTGGTTTAGAAAGTAAAAATATCAGTCGGAAGTTTTTAGCTAGAAATCTGAAGATATTTATATGCACTTTGAGGAAAAGAAGTTCAAAGGTGTAGATAAAGCTGTCATGAGCACTTACCGGTGTTAGGATTTGAAGATCTATCACATGAAGGTGTTTTTTAATGCCAACGTCTAACAACTTAGCTTGTAACTCTTTACGATTAATCATTATATTTTGTGGTTTCAAGTCTGCGTGTGTAAAACCCCTCATATGCAATTGATTGAGTCCTTACACCACATCCTTGCACATAGTAGACATTAAAAAAATAGAGAAGGTATACTGATTCTACCAAAATGGGAAAATCAATGTTTTTGTCACTACCTAAATGATTTTCATGGGAATACAACTAAGAGTTTGGCTTTGATGGTGACATTGAACTTAACCTATGACTCTAGAAAAGAAGCTGCAAGGTTCAAAACTCTTGCCCACATGTTGATTGCATTAAGCTATAACCAGCGTCAAGGTAGTGGCCTATTAATTTGCAGTATCGTGCATACCTTAGAATTTTTTACAGGAGAACTATTAAATATGAGCCAGCAAAAAAGAGTTCATGAAGGTACAAGCAAGTTCACTTCAAATACAAATCTATGATAGTTGACTATTGGAGTGTTGCAATAAGCAAGATACTGCAATTGTCTCTCCATTCAAACCATTTTGACAAAACATAAAAATTACTTTATCAAAGTCTTTAAATGACTCATGGGATAATCATCATTAGTCTACAAATTGGGCAAGGACAGGAAATCCTTCTTGAGACTTTTCAACTTTTCTTTGTATTCATCACTTAATGATGGATCATGAGGGAAGACACTTGAATATGAATAAGCTTGAATTAAATCATATAGGTTGTAATGGCAATGCTCTATAGCTAGTCGTGCTTGAGCATCGCTCCATGAAATTTAACTATATTTTGATCTCTGAGAGCTTTTATCGAACTCGAAATATTTTGGTCAATATCAACATGATTTCTCGCCAATTTTTTCACTACCACATCTTGACCATTGTTGGGAAAAAGATCGCGGAAGAAACCGACTAACCTTTTCGATGCACGACAAAAGAATTATCCAAGAATGTGAATTGAATCACTAGCGAATGTTGGAGGAATCTATAATTTCACACCGGTCCGAATATAATCACGAGGAAAATATTCTTGTTCCACAGCGTTAATGCCTATCGTTTTCTCGAAGCAATAATGGAACCCTTTTGTGTGTTTTTTAATTGAGATGAAACATGCATTCTTTTCTGTACATTATTTTTTTTAGTCTATTTTCTCCCTCATAAGGAAGTTAATATTTCAAGGTATGTCTCTCAAACACGGATTCCATCATTGGCGAAATGGTGCCATTTAACATCTTCCACTCGAACATGATGGGCTTGACAATACTTTGTCAATAATATAAGGCATTCAACACTCTATCCTTTCTTATGTTGACATCTCTTTCTAGATCTCCCACTCGAACATCATGGGCTTGATAATACTTTATCAAGGATATAAGCCGTTCAACACTCTATCCTTTCCTTTCTTATGTTGACATCTCTTTCTAGAAGTCCACCAAATGGATGATGTTCTCGG